TGTTGATAGTACTGATGGTGGACCTCAAGATCAGGGAGACATATTCTGTGTTCTCTGTTACGAAAGTGGTGCCCTTGAGATATTTGATGTGCCTAGTTTTAATTGTGTGTTCTCTGTTGATAAATTTGCGTCTGGAAGACGCCACCTCTCTGATATGCCTATTCATGAGTTAGAGTATGAACTCAACAAAAGCTCCGAGAATAATTCTTCGTCAAGGAATGAAGAGATAAAGGACACAAAGGTCGTTGAGTTAGCTATGCAAAGATGGTCTGGGCAACATACACGCCCATTTCTCTTTGCAGTATTGGCTGATGGCACAATTCTTTGTTACCATGCGTACCTATTTGAAGGTGTTGATAGTATCAAAGCAGAGAATAGTGTATCTTCAGAACATCCTGCTGCTTTAAATTCCTCTGGTAGTTCTAAGCTTAGGAATCTGAAATTTCTACGTATCCCCTTGGACACCTCTACAAGAGAGGGGACTTCAGATGGAGTTGCATCCAAAAGAATTACCATGTTCAAAAATATTAGTGGCCACCAGGGTTTTTTTCTTTCTGGCTCAAGGCCAGGGTGGTGTATGTTGTTCAGAGAGCGGCTTCGGTTTCACTCACAGGTATGATACACTCACCTAGAGAGGATTTTTGTATTCTTGTGTCTCAAAGAACTGAAGCAATGGTTACTATTATTCTAATCTGTTTGTTTTTTAGTTTTTCTGAATCAAGTTTCTCCATTTCATGCTATCAATTTTTCAGCTGTGCGATGGATCAATTGCGGCCTTTACTGTTCTTCACAATGTGAATTGCAATCATGGGTTCATATATGTCACTTCACAGGTTTAATAATGTGTCTACACCACATTTCTATGGTTACTTTTCTGTTCTTATTATTGTGGCATCTAGACTATCAATTCCTTTGGGAAGATAATTCATATTCACTTGTATCAGGGGGTTTTGAAGATTTGCCAATTACCGTCAGCATCAATCTACGATAATTATTGGCCAGTGCAGAAGGTAAATTCTAGTTTTTAAATCAGCTCTAAGTACTGTGGTCGCATGTTAATTATATGGAAAATAAAGTGCGTAAGGACTGATCACATTGATTGCCTGATATATATATATTTTTTCTAGATCCCTCTGAAGGCCACGCCTCACCAAGTTACCTACTACGCGGAGAAGAACTTGTACCCGCTGATAGTATCATATCCGGTGAGCGCGTTTGCATGATAATATATTCTAATTGTTTTACCTGATCCGAATTGCATATCTTTGGTTGCCTGCAACGAATTTAGAACTCTTTTGAGGTTGAGATGGCTACCTAGCTCCCCCGTTTTTCCTCTTTTAACTATCTCAATTTGTTCTTAATTCATATTTTCAACTACCCTTCGCAAATTGATTCAACTGGATGCCTCTCTGAATTTCTTTCATTAATATCAAAGAAATTGGTTGACTTTCTTGGCTGCAGTAATATTAGTAGATCATACTTCTTTGTTTTTCTTATAGATAAACACCTGAACTAATGCTATGTTTGCATGCTTATTTAGTCATTTTCTTTTTGTTGAGAAGAAAGAAAGTTCTCTGCCAATTATGCATTACCCGTCTATTTATTTGACCAGCATTGTTTGATATTAATTTTTCTATCTTACTAACCCAAGCAATGTCATTTCCCTCTCCCTTTTGAAGGTCAGCAAGCCATTAAATCAAGTTCTTTCTTCACTAGTTGATCAAGAAGCGGGTCAGCAGATTGACAACCACAATCTCAGCTCAGATGATCTCCAACGGACATACACCGTAGAAGAATTTGAAATCCGAATTTTGGAACCAGAAAGATCTGGTGGCCCCTGGGAAACTAAAGCCACTATCCCAATGCAGAGCTCAGAACATGCACTGACCGTGCGAGTTGTCACACTTCTTGTGAGTTAGCTACTAACTCGCGTAATGTCATATAATTGCTCTCTGCCTCCATGAATAATGTTGAGCTTCTCTATCTTTATGACATGATGATCAAAAGACTATTGCTGTGATCAGATCTAGGGATCAAATCTATCAAATCTCTTTGTTTTAATTGCAATAACCGAGCCACATTCTCTTACTCCATGTGGTGTTTCAGAATGCAAGCACAGGGGAGAATGAAACACTTCTTGCTGTTGGAACAGCCTATGTCCAAGGGGAGGATGTTGCTGCAAGGGGCCGTGTGCTTCTTTTCTCTTTTGGAAAAAATGGCGATAATTCCCCAAACGTGGTATATTTAGTTGGGCCTACAATCTGGTGAATCTTTTTCTTTGCTTTCATTTTCATCTTGGATATTCTATTTATTGTATAGGAACTTTTCTGTAGGTTACCGAAGTCTACTCAAAGGAGCTAAAAGGTGCTATATCAGCTGTAGCTTCCATTCAGGGTCATCTTCTAATATCATCTGGTCCTAAAATCATCTTGCACAAATGGACTGGCACCGAATTAAATGGGGTTGCCTTCTTTGATGCTCCGCCGCTCTATGTAGTCAGCATGAATGTTGTACGTTTTACTTTCTTGGCCAGTTGGCCTAGTGCTGTGTTGCTTTTATGAGCTTACTTCACTAAACTGACATGACTTGGCTCTGAGGATCAGTTTTCTTCTGCGTGATCTGACTTTGGTAATTTTCTTTTACTTGCAGGTAAAGAATTTCATCCTTCTTGGTGATGTTCACAAAAGCATATACTTTCTTAGCTGGAAGGAACAAGGGTCCCAACTTAGCTTACTAGCCAAAGATTTTGGATCCCTCGATTGTTTTGCTACAGAGTTCTTGATTGATGGAAGTACGCTTAGCCTGGCTGTCTCCGATGAACAAAAGAATGTCCAGGTTAGCATCTCTCTCTTATCCCCTTTAGTGTACGTGATGGTATCAGGCCTTACTTATATGTACCGATCCCCAACAGCCATTTTCTATTCCACCTAAAATTAAGGTTAGCAAGTTATCATCTCTCTTATCGCCTAGTGTGTACGTGATGAGATCAGGCCTTACTTATGGACGTGATGTTATAATGTGAAATACCCTAACTCGTAAATTGACTTTGTATTGATCCCCAACAGATATTCTATTTTGCACCAAAGATGGCTGAGAGCTGGAAGGGTCAGAAACTTCTTTCAAGAGCGGAATTTCACGTTGGTGCCCATGTGACAAAGTTCCAACGTCTGCAGATGGTTTCTTCTGGCTCGGATAAAACAAATCGCTATGCTTCGTTATTTGGTACCCTAGACGGCAGTTTTGGTTGCATTGCTCCACTCGATGAAGTCACATTCCGGAGGTTACAATCTCTCCAGAAAAAGCTCGTGGATGCCGTTCCTCATGTTGCGGGTCTGAACCCACGCTCTTTCCGTCAATTTTGCTCAAGTGGGAAGGCTCGACGATCTGGGCCTGACAGCATAATCGACTGCGAGTTACTATGCCAGTAAGTTTTCTTGGCCGTAGAACAAATGGACTTCAAAGCAGAGATGAGAGAGCGCATAGGATAATACTCGAAAATCACATAATAGAACAATCATAGACGCATATCCTTATGGTTTTGAAATCTTTTTGCAGTTACGAGATTCTTCCATTGGAGGAACAGCTTGAACTAGCTCACCAGGTTGGGACAACCCGATCTCTGATTTTAGACAATTTAGTTGATCTCTCTGTCGGAACCAGCTTCTTGTGAAAGAAGAAAGAAAAAAGGCAGATCGTAATGCGTTGTTCATCCATGGACCGACAAAGAAAGCAAAAAAGGCAGAGTTGCTTATGTTGTACAAATGGTGTAACTGTAACACAATCATGAATTTTGATGTTTTGTAACATTTTTAGATTATGTTAAGATTCTTCTTCACTCTAATTGTTTGTTTCATGTCTCCTTTGAATCCTTAGTTACGTAAGATCTGGACAGTTAATTACTCAACTCTTGTCTAATTTTGAGTATTTTATAATTTGTCAAATTGATCTTTTCTCACTTTTTTTTTAAAAAAGAAGAAAGCAATCTGAATGGTAATTTCTAACTTGCAATTGGGGTTAGTGAAAATGAAAGTATAAAAGTGGTACAAAACAAAACAAAAGGTCAGGCTTGTTAAGGGATTGATCATTGTGTCCATCACAGAGAGAGCATAGACGTGCACACATACTCACTCACCACTCCACACTCAAAATGGTACAACAAAAATCAAAAGTAGATTAGAAAAGTTTCGAGTTTAAAGAATAAAAAATAACGAAACACAATCATAGTAACATGTTGTCTCTTTGTACCACCAATCTTCTTTTGTTTTCACTTTAGAATGTCTAACAAAGTAACATCATTTTACTTACACAACCTTTTCTTTTGTTCCTTTTTACTACAACTCCCTTTTCTCTTTCAAGAATCTCTCTATTCGGTTATTGAAATTTGATTTTGTGAGAAATTATCGATCAATCCCATAAAACAAAAAACACACTCCACCGGTTTGGAATACTGTAAACTCGACACGTTTCAATACACTTCACACCTCAAAAAATTGATAGAGAGATCTCAAAATGCCAAACAAGTGTTTATACAACATCTTTTTGCCAATCTATCCCTCGTTGGCCATTTAACAACTCTATCTTTATTATGCATCAGAATTTAGAATTGTATATTGTTTTATTTTCATATCATAAAAGTTGATCGGTTCTACATAGGATCATATCGAAATAAACAACATTGTCACATTAGTTTTTGAGGTGTTCAAAAAGATAGCATAAAAAATATGATTGGAAGAAGAAATAATAATTGGAGTCAGAAGGAGAATGTTGGTGATATGCTTAGCAGCGTGACTGCGTCTGGTACTCTGCTGCTGTTTGCAAGTCAGCGTTTTCTCCTTTTGCTCCCTTTCTCTTTACATCATTTTTTATGATTGGATTTGAATCTTTTTTTTTTTACCTCTTCTCTTCATATGTATACGTAATTTTCAGTAATGCATCTTATGACATTATGACATATATGATATGACAAATATAAGTTATAGTACTTTATTAGTTAGTTCATATTATCAGAAACCATAGTTATCGCATTAAATAATTGGCAAACGTTACTAACATTGGTCACCAAAAATCTCCGCAAGAACACAGTCCACTTTCAAAATGATGAAATCTATTGGCATCTCTCATCACAATGTCTCGTCTGAATAACTCAGAGACCAGCTTACAAAAAATATGGCAATCTCTACACACACGTAAATTTTTTGTGATCCGAAGACATGTTCTGTCAGGTGTTCTGAGCAGACCATAAGCAATTGCTAGCCTCTCACTGTGTCCTTGCAGCATCTGAACCTTCTCCCTTTCATCTACATTATGCAGAACAAACTTTGTATCGGCTTGATAACCTGCTTCCTCTTCCAACTTCCTAGTAACCTCGGACAATTTCTCATATATCTCTTTGGTCTCTGGGTGAGACTTGTCTCTTGCTGTAAATTTATGAACCTTTCCGTCAATCTCAATCCAACTACATCCAGGGTGTTTCTCCAGTCTGCTTGCTTTCATTTTTTCCCTCACTCTTTCTACATCGTCCCATCTTCCTTGTTCCGCAAAGACATTAGATACAAGAACAAGATTTCCCGGGTTCATAGGTTCTAGCTCAAGGAGCCTCTGAGCTGCTATCGCTCCAATCTCTTTCTCTGAATGAGATCGGCATGCGGCAAGGAGTGCACACCACACTTCTGTGGTCGGTTCTGTCTTCATCATTTTAACGAATTCAAAGGCTTCCACAACACAATTAGCACGACCCAGCATGTCAACCAGACACACGTAATGCTCAGGCCATGGTTCCAATTTATATTCATGCTCCATGATCTTCAGAAACCCTCTACCCTCATCAAGTAGACCAGCATGGCTGCACGCATTAAGAAGAGCCAGAAATGAAATGTGATCAGGCGAGATGTTTTCATGCCTCATTTTATTGAACAACTCAACAGATGTTTTTCCACGGCCGTGCATTCCATATGCATTGATCATACTTGTGTATTGCAGTAAACTTTTCCTTTCTATCCGATCAAAGACAACCTTTGCACTCTGTAAATCTCCACAGCATGCATACATATCAACAACTGCAACTGCAATGGACTCCTCTAGTAAAAAACCCTTCCTGAGTAAGTAGCCATGAATTTCTCTCCCTTTCTTGAGGGCAGATAAACTTGCGGCAGCAGACAGTATACACAACAAAGCCACAGAATCAACTAACAAACCAGTTTCAACCATGCGTCGAAAGATATCAACAGCCTCGTTTTTGTTACCATTAAGAGCACTAGAGGAAATCATGCTTGTCCAAGAGACAACATCTTTACCTTTAATTGATTCAAATATTCGAGTAGCATAGCCCATGTTCCTGCATTTTCCGTAAACATCCACCAACTCATTCTGTATCACAGTATCCAGTAAGCCTTTTCTCAAGATGTGACAATGAAGCTCTTTGACAATGAGCACGGATTTCAGCAAACTACAAGCTCGAAGGATGCTTCCCAGCATCAATTCATCAATTTCCATCCTCTCCTTAGCAACATCCCGGAAGAGTTCTAAGGCTTCTACATGACAATCATTCTGGGCATAACCAGCAATGACTGTAGTCCATGAAATAAGATCTTTTTCATGCATCCTAAGAAAGGCACGGCGCATATAACATGTGCTGTTGCACTTAGAGTACATATCTATTAACGTGTTTCCAACCTGCAAATTAGAATCCCAGCCACGTTTAATGACGTAAGAGTGCAATTCCATTCCTGCCAACAGATTGCTTAATCTTCCTGACGCTGCAATGACACTGGTAACTGAAACCTCATCGGGTTTATGGCCAGAAGCGATCATATGACAAAAGAATCCTAATGCCTCCTTGTACATGGAATTCTGTACATATCCCTTAATCAGGGAATTCCATGTCACAACATCAGCATTGTCCATCTGACGAAGGATCCTTCCTGCCTCAAGCATTTTACCGCACCTAGTATACATAGCAATCAAGGCATTGCACACGTATATATCAAAAGAAAGAGTAGATTTTTTCAGGACAGCAGCGTGAATCTCTTTGCCTAGCTTTGCATATGAAACACCTTCACAAGCTGTAAGAGCCGAAACAAAAGTGTAGCTGTTGGAGGCAGGACCACTCATCTGCATTTCTCTGAACAACTCCAAAGTCTCGAAAGATTGACCAGACAAGGAATACGAAGACATAATAGAATTCCACAGAACAGCATCACCTCCTTTATCTTGGGATCCATCGAACAGACGCCTTGCTGCGCATAGGTCATCATTCTTAGCATACATGGAAAGCAACGCATTGACAATAAAATCTGTTGAACTGTGGCCAAGTTTAACGAGAAGACAATGAATCTCAATCCCACTCCGGAAATCTCTAAGCTTGCCGCAAGCTTTAAGCAAGACAGGAAAGGAGTGAAGATGGAGAGGAACGCCCTGTACCCGCATTTTGTAGTACAGAGCAAGAGCAGAAGCAGGGTCATTATTGGAAAGATAGGCTCCAATCATCGCGTTCCATGCAAAATCCGTTCTTTGAGGCATTTCGTCAAACACTTTCTCTGCGTCATCCACGGAACCACACTTACCGTACATGAACACAAGCTTACCAGCCAAAAAGTCTGATTCAGGAAAAGTCTTGAAAATGCGGGAATGAAGCTGGCGACCTTGAGAGAGTGCTCTGAATTTGCCACAGAGCTCAAGAACGTCCGCATAGGTTTCCATGGAAAGGTTCTCATCGTCGATGAAGTCCAAACGTTGAAAAGCTTCATCGAAACAAGAGAGGTTCAGAGAAGAGACGACTTGGACAGGCTTTACAGGGTAACTGAGATATGGGGTTGTCCGAATCGGGAGACTAGCATGGAGACGAAACGTGGCACTGGAACTCGCCGCAGCAGAGTAGAGTAGCTTCATTTTACAGCATAGCTCTTGTTCACTCTTGTGTTAGTTCAGATAAGGTTCTGATATGGGCCAGGCCCATTTAAATACATTCTCGGGCCCGTTTCGTGTAACTGGTGATACGATAAGAAGGACACGTGGCCGACCAAGTCAAAGAAACCAAAAACATCGAAATCATTAAGGTTGGCAAATACATCACACAGAAGAGAAGATGAACTAATTTATTCGCAAGTTGGCTTTGGTGTTGCGGGTTTTAAGCTCACACAGATATATAAAATAATGGAACAAGAGACGGAGATGGTGTGTCTCGCACGTCATCGATTAGGTATGACATATAAATCATGTTCATTGACATCTCTCTTAATTTGTTGTAGGCTTGTAGCTATATAGCAAGCAGAACCCCTCGTTAGAGTCAACGAAAACATGGGGAAGAAGATGATAAACTTCTCAACTATTATCATCGTATCGATGATCCTATTGGTTTCCACAGGTTAGTAACATATACATACTCGATAGATCCACTTACAACTATGTACGTCTCATATAACATGTTGTTGTGATTTGTCTATTACACTTAATATGCATATAGGATTAATGGAGCAAGGAGAAGCGCAAGCACAAGGATCATGTGAGTGGGAATGCGAGCACCTACCAAACTTCCCGTGTTGGTTAAAAGGTGTCGGAGAACGCCTTTGCCACGACTTGTGCATGTCCGAAGGAGCCATTGCCGGCTTTTGTGTCTCTGACCCTCACCACCGCTGCCTCTGTCGCAAGCCCGGCTGCTCCTGATTTTATATACCCTCATTCGCCATATTATATTCAACCAGCCGTTTGTTTTACGTACGCAAGAAAACCATATATATATTGTAGCTCTGATGTTGTCTTCTGTACGTGATCGAGTGCTATATATATGGAATTATGGATTGTGATATTAATAAAATTATGATGGTGTAAGCTAGGTAACTCCTAATCATCATACACATCTCGTTCATTTTGTTGGATCTTCGTATTCATCTGCTTTGATTTATCGATCCTAATGCTAGTACCTTCATCAATAACTATTCCAAGAACCCGTCCATATGTATAAAAAAGTGAACGTGGTACGTAGAATAATGACGAAGTTGTTAAATATATATAAAAAAGTTAAATAATATATTTTCTGAAATCGGTGTGTAGAATAAGAGACTCACTTTTAATAATGGTATATAAAATCGTAAATCGTATATAAGATTTGCGGCGTGTGGAGACTGTTTTGGATGAAACACGTTTTGATTCAAAATTGTTTTTTCTTTGTCTTGTACGTTAAATTTTCCACTTATAGATATAAACAATATGGCAGACAAAAGATTACTTGAGATGATCAAAGAAGGTCTAAGGGCAAGATTATTGGTAGTATTTAAGGGGTATCTTAGGAGAAGATACCCTTCACAAAGTATCTTGTGCAACATACTTTGTGAAGGGTATTTTCTCCTAAGATACCCCTTAAATACTACCAATAATGTTGGTCTAAGAATCGTGAATCGATCGGGTCAAAAGCAAACAAAAATGCCGTCGTTTTGGGATGTGCGTCGACCTCAAATCTCATAACCAAAATCTATATATATGTCTGACGAAGCTTCCTTCTCTTCTCATATTCAACTCCGTAATTTCAAAGTATGAAAGTATTCAATTGACCATTTTATGTACATTTTGTAAGATTGATTAAGCAAGTGGGGTTGATATATATGTCTACAAGATATGCTGTGTATATTAATGCATACACACATTTTAATGTAATGTGTAATTTTGTGTTTACGGGGGTTTTCATGCTAATTTGACGGGATGTCTCTTTCTCCAATCACTACAAATCCCGGTGCATCAGCAGGATTATATACAATTTTAATTTGTTTTTTCATTATAAAATAAGTTCATGCAAGTATTAGTGATTTACAAGTGGATGTGTCCATTGGTGTAAGCACTAATCTTTTGTAACGTATACTAATTAATGGACTATATATACAAATATCACAAGACAAGTCTTATAATAACAGATCTATTCGTGTTTAAGTTGTAACCTGCTTGTCGTGTAAATTATAAGACTGATCGATATGAATGTTGTAGAATTGTAGATCATGATGCATGCATTTTACTTTGAAAGGTATATTCATGAGAGACATAATTGTTGATTGAGACAATTATTAAAATATGAACATGCATGCATCTATATAAATAGTTTGTCTGAAAACGCATATGCATGTTTATACTTTCTATGTTTATAGGCAAATTTAGATAAAATCTTCACACATCATGAGAAAATTAATTGTAAGTTTCTGCCTCTTTTTGACGTGTAGTAGATAAAATTTATATGATAGATTTTGAGTACAGAATAATATATTACTCTCGTACGTAAGACTTATAATCATCTTTTAACATATTTCAAGTTTGTAGGTCGAAGCTGAAATCAGCATTAGTACAAAGAAGAAAATATGAAGGTGATCATAAAAGAACACACATATATGTTGATGTCTGAGTTAGAGATTAGTCTGGTTTTAGTATAATCAAAGTTAGAGATTTTAGAAGTCTAGTCAAAAGTTAGAGATTAGTCTGAGTAGGAGATTTCAAATACAATATATATAGATCAAAAGTTAATCAGGTTATATAGGATAGGAGAATGAATATATCTTGTTTATTGCAAAAGTCAAATTGTCATTAGGAGACTTGGCGAATATCGATATATACACAATTGATACGGTGATGAGATTTATTTTATTTGCAAATGAAACAGAAGAGTCCTAAACTGAGATTTATGCTTTTTTCTTTGTTGGAAGACTACTGCTGGAGAAAAATGAGAATTTGGTCTTCTAAAAATCTAATTTAGCTAGGAAGAAAACGTTAGAATATATTTTGACTACATGATTAAACGAACAAAACCATTAGAACAAAACAACACAAAATTTCAAGAATGCAATTGACATATTTTCAACATTTTTGTATTTCGAGTCTATTAGTTTCGGTTCGTTGAAACAAAAAATTTAATTTTTATATCATCCGAAAAATTCGTAAACATCCAAATCCATGTGTTTAACAAAAGGAACAAAAAAAAATTTACAATATATGCAATTTCTTTTTTAGGGTAGTATTAGTAACTAACCTTTTATTAAGTTAGGAAATTCATTAGGAAAACAAAAATTCATGCTCTAATAAGAATCCTACTAGGAAAAATGTAAAAATAGTTTTAATTTTTTGATTTATAACAAAAGAAAAAAAAACAATAACGAATTCCAAAATAATCATTTTTACTATTTTAGCTTCGATTTATAATCGTACCAAAATTTTCAGTGTAAATTCTTTGAAAACAAAAACATTGATTTCTTTCAAAAGAATAAAAATAAAATTTGATTTCTATCAAATTTCTTGTAACAAAAGAATATAAAAAAATACTCAATAACAAATTCCAAAAAATCATTTTCAGGATTTTAGCTTCGATTTATAATTTTACCAAAAATTATCGATGTAAGTTCCTGGAAAAAAAAATGGTGTCTTTCATCCAAATGAAAAGAAAAAGAAAATACCAAAATCAAAGTATAAAGAAAAGAAAATATAACAGCAACAATTTTTTGGGATAATTTATAAAAGTAAAATATAAAAACATGAGAGAGAGAATAAAGAATGAAGGCATGGGATGTTGCCTCTCCATTTAACGACAATACTTTTGTCTTCCTCACAAAATGGTTTTGCCTTAGCCTTACCATTTCGTATTCGCATGCATCCTCCAATCTTTTTTTTTTAATTATTAGTTGTCGTTTATAATATATATTAAACTATATAGAAACCTCTCATTATGATTCTCGTAATGCTTTTGTTACGCCTTTATTTGCTCCTCATGTGCCTTATTACCACTACTCTACTTGATTCATTATTCTTTGATACATATTAGTGTAATTGTCATCAAACATTTTCAAGAATTTACATAAATTTGATGTATTTTTTTACAATGCTATATTATCTTATATTTTATCTTTTATAGATCTTTGTTAAAAGAAACAAAGTTTGCATAAAATTATAGGTCACACTCACTGACAAAAAAATGTATGTGTTTACATTTTACAATATGGATAATGAGAAAAAAATAAGAATTGGTTTTAGAGGATTCTAGTTGTAGTTGACATACACATCTTTTTACATTCCTAGCTCCCAATCATTTAAATAATGTAAACGAATAACAAAACGCATTATTTCCATAAATTATATAAATTCTTGATATACCAAAGTTTTTTAAAAGAAAAATCTAAAAGTGTAATGATGGATTGAACACCCCACGAGCCATTCACACACTTTCAACTTTTTTAGTCCCCTAGAAAGAAAGAAACATTACATTACATTATATATCTCTCATTATCTCTCACACTATCTCCATTTTACTTCTTCTTCTTCAAAGTTCTCAAATCAATCATTCCTTTGCTTTGCTCTCCTAAACCACCACTAATGGCTCTCGAAACTTTCCTAATTAAACTCAAAAACGCTATTTCATCCCAACCTTCTTCTCGGACTCGACCTCTCCGTTCATCACCTCCGATCACTACCACTACCACCACTTCCTCTGTTGGAGTTTTATCGTTCGAGGGGGCTCGTGTCATGACCAAACTCCTTCACCTTACTCACTCTCTCACCGACTCTAATCTCCTTACTCTTCGAGACCACTCTCTCTCCTTAGAAGGTCTCGCCAAAATCGTCACCGGAGATGAAACATTCCACCTCAGCCTAGTCTGTGCTGAGCTCGCAGATAGTTTAGCCCACTCAGCTAACTCTGTTTCAAGGCTGAGCAGTCGCTGTACCACGGCCAGCCTACGTTCTTTCCACCGCTTATTCCATGAGTTCGCTGACATGGGTCGTGACCCTCATGGCTGGGTCATGAGTTCTAAAGACAGCGAAGCTAAGAACAAGAAAATCGAAAGGTAAAACCAAATCTCTTTACTCTAAACATACAAAAACAGAGCAAAACAGAGCAAAAGCAGAGTATCAACAGAGAGACTGATTGAAAAATTGTTTCTTTGTTTTGTTAATGAAATAGATACGTGAGTGTGACAACAGCTTTGTATAGAGAGATGGAAGAGATGACGATACTAGAGAACTCTCTGAGAAAACAAAGTTTACAGATTGGGATCGAATTCGAAGAAGAAGACGACGAGAACAAGAAAGATGTAATGAAAGTGATAGATCTGCAGAGCAAGATTGAGAGACAGAAGCAACATGTCAAGTATCTGAAAGATCGATCTCTTTGGAACAAAAGCTTCGACACCGTCGTGTTGATCCTCGCCAGATCGGTATTCACAGCACTCGCTAGACTCAAATCCGTCTTCTCCTCCGCCGCAGCCTCTAGCTACATGGGTCCAACGGTCGTGTCTTCTCTCCCTCGTTCTCTCTCTTCTTCTTCTTCCTCTATGAATCTTGTCCACCCGAGCCCAAACGACGAGGAGAAAGTCAAAACGCCGTCGTCCTCTGCGTTTCTTGAAGAAAGCTCAAGACTTTTGAAACCCCCGGAGACAACTCTCGGCGGAGCTGGCGTGGCGCTTCACTACGCGAATCTGATAGTCGTGATGGAGAAAATGATAAAGCAACCTCAGCTTGTAGGTCTTGACGCGAGAGACGATCTGTATTCAATGTTACCGGCGAGCGTGAGATCATCGCTCAGATCGAGGCTAAAAGGAGTTGGTTTCACGGCGACAGACGGTGGTTTAGCGACGGAGTGGAAGGCGGCGTTAGGTCGGATATTACGGTGGTTGTTACCATTGGCGCAGAATATGATAAGGTGGCAGAGTGAAAGAAGCTTCGAGCAGCAACACATGGCGACATCAGGAAATAGCCAGAACAGAGTGATGTTAGTTCAGACACTTGTGTTTGCAGATAAAGTTAAGACAGAAGCAGCAATAACAGAGCTTCTTGTTGGGTTGAACTACATCTGGAGATTCGAAAGAGAGATGACTGCTAAAGCTCTGTTCAATCTACAGTCTCCTCTTACTACTACTACTACTACTCATATAAAGTCATAATCACAGCTAATTTTTACTGTAGAGTTTTGTCCTTTTTTGTTTTGATTCTTGTTTGGTGGGTTGATTTTGATTTTTTTTTTCTTGGGGTTTAGTTTGATAATACGAGTTATGAAAATGATAAAAGTGGATTGGGTTGGGTTTATTTTTTCTTGACTTGAGAGACAAATATATATAAGAAGATGTGATGTGATGTGTTACAATGTAGATATTGGATTATTTTTGAGTGATTATTTTCTGTAAGATGTTATTACAAAGGTTATCAATGAGTTTACTCATGGGAAAACTGTGTTTTCACTAAACCGGCTCTTTCAAATGAAGGTTTTGGAGCATAACCTGATGGTTAAATTAGGTTGGTAAAGTTGAATTTGCTCTTTGCTTCTTTATTTTGAAAGGAGCCGAAATTATAAAGGAAATATAAAATTTAAGAAAAAGGTTGTATATATGAATAATTTGATGATATGAATCTAGAGAATAGAATTAGATGTCGAATATATTAAGTGCACCTAAAATGCTTTTAAAATTTGTTTTGACTTTACATTAGAAAGTACTAATCAAATAGTTAAGATGGGTCCAGCTCATGCTAGAGATCAAGAGTCAACTAAGTTTTGTGTTTTCATAATTACTTTGATGGATTTGTTATAGGCAAATTGAGCTGTATAGCCATTCTATAAATGTTTAAAGATGACATTATATGCTAAATGTTAAGGTTAAGGTTAACCCGTTAAGAAAGTGTTTCAAAAACAAAAAAAACATAGTCGTAAATGAATGTAGACGTAAAATTTTATTCGGTATATATAAGTAGAAGGTTTTAATATATATTCCTTTGTTGTGGATTTGACGACCTAAGTGTATAATTCTATATATTGTTCTCTGCATGGTATTTTTCTTTCCTAAGATTACCTTGAGACTTAATCCACAATTTAAAGGTGTTATCGAAATTATTTTCTAGTTAGTTTTAAATTTAAAAACTTACATATCTTGTAACTCAGAGATCTACATACCTCATTGCTAGTAATGTTTTTTTTTTTTAAATCACTAGAAGACAGTAGTGTTTGTTTTTTTAGTTTTTAAGTGTACAATTCGTTAATTCTTAAAGATAGTAATTTAATTGGCATGATAGTAATTTAAGTTAGTTAGATTCTAACAATGGATCGACGAGATCGGTCCAGAAGAAAACTAATATAAATGTTTGCCGTTGGGTGTTTTAAAATGACGACGACACGCTGTTTAGTCAGCGTAGCACAAACACGGCATGGAGTGCGTGTAGGAGAAGTTAGAACGGCAGCGAACAGTAGAGAGCTTTGGAAACTTAACTGAGTAGTATAAGAGGGAGACTTGTGGTGGGATTGAGTAGAGTACTTACCTAGACGGACGGGGTCAACACATGATCACGAAGACGAGTGGCCTAGGCTAGTGACTTCGCATCTTCCTCTAAATATAGTTTTGGAATTTATAAAACATATTTAGATTTCCTTTTGTATTTTCTACAGAGTTTGTTTTATTCTTTTCAGGATTCTATCTACTTTCATTTCCAATCATTCTTCACCTCTGTATTCATTGGTATTATCGGTTGTTATCTTGCAACAAATTCTGAAATTTCATGTGGGGGTCATATGGACGAACGTATACTGTAAAGAAACGGTGACCATTGATTCATTGATTTTTTTTTGTTTTCTTTGGCTCGCCTCTCTTAATGGGTTGGTGAATGTGTATATGAAAGAATCACTTGATTTGAATGATTTATGATTGAACTAAAAAGAAAAAACAATATGAAGCTAAGCTAGTGTTCCAAATGAGAAATCAAATTTGGGTTTGGACTTGTGAGAAATCATATGAAGCTAGTGTTACCATTATGTATTTTTATGTTCATACTCTCCATCCATAGAAAAAACTCCAAATGTTGTTGACATGACAAGAGTTATATCAACTGAATTAATTTTATGAAGATAAGATTTAGTGGATTAGATTGTGAGTTTAAGTGGAACAGACAATGATGACATAACATAAAAGAAGTTTATAAAGTCAGCATGAAGTGGATCTACAAGTTTGGTGACACGACACCAAATGGTTTAGGTGAATCTTCATAACAAAAAAAAAGTTGGCCTTAAACACGCATACTTTGTTTGAACCAAAGTGGTTTTAGTAACACAACATCACGTTGACTAATCGGACTCGTAAAAGCTATAAATAAACAAGACTTGTGTAATAGAGACCAAACAAATGTTTGAAAATGGAACCCAAAGAAACAGAGCCACCTCGAAAACAATTGAGACAGCCTCCTTCTGTTCCTTTCATATGGGAAGAAAGGCCTGGCTACCCTAAGAAGGATTGGCAACCTTCGTTAGCCACCTTCGTGCCGTCTCCTCCTCCGCTTCCGCCACCTGTTCCAGTCCCGGTTAAGTTGGTTACATCAGTTCCTTTCCGTTGGGAAGAAACGCCTGGAAAACCTCTCCCTGCTTCCTCAAACAACCAACCTCAGCTTCCACATCCACCATTGGAAACCGCTACGACGACTTCATTACCACCTCCGGTTCCTGTTCCGGTTAAGCTGGTTACTTCGGTTCCGTTCGATTGGGAAGAAACCCCTGGACAACCATACCCTTGTTTTGTTGATTTTAATCCACGTGAGCCGTTGGATCAACCGCTGCCACCTCCTCCCATGTACGGTGAGGTTGAAACCAACAGCGATATTTTTGACGACGCAAGCAGTGATTCCTTCAGCTCTGTGCCGTCTCTATTAGCAACAAACCGCTCGGTCTCGATATCCAATACTGTGGTCGCAATGGATGAATTTGATGACAAACAGCATAGAGAGACAAGCTCAACGCCATCGTCACCAACTTATGAATCTGATGACAGTACGAGCAGTTACATGACTGGAGCTTCCAGTCTTGTGGGAGCTTCGTTCTTGGAAAAGCTATTTCCACGTCTCCTTCCAGCAGAAAAGGTCAAAGCTGCTGATTCTGAGGACGTTCAGGTTCCTACTCATCCGTTGAATGAAGAAGGAAAGCTTACTACAGAATCTGACAACATGAGTATTGGCTTTCCTGTGAGGATGCCACAGACACTTGGGGAGCTGATAATGATGAGCCGAAGGAGAAGCTATATGAGAAGAGCTGTTGAAATGAGAAAGCAGAATCCTTACAAGGTAAAACCCTCAAATATTTTTTTTCATTGCCTCTTTCAAAGCCAAATACACAGTAACAGTATATCACGCTCATACCTAAATTCAATCGCGAGAAAAGATTCTGAAATGTTAACACTTGCCTGGATAAACTAGCAGGAATTTACAAAGAATGGAGCTGATAGCTGCTGCCTCTTTGTGCCGGGCATCAAAATGATAGAAGGACTTGAGTGGAAAAAATACCAACCGAGGTTGAAGCTCATTTAGAAGAAAATTCTTATAAAGATCCTCACAATTTGCATAGAAAATTTCAGAAGTCGTTTTCTCTTTTAAAGACAAGAAACTTGTAAATGTAGTACTGTAAGATTGAATGCCAGACTCCTTCTGCTGCAGAACAAGCAACTCATATCATTGATCTCTTTCTTATCTTCTAAATCTCTAACAACTTCCAAAACAATGTCTATCAATAAAAAAAGAGCACCGCACTAACCCAAAATCTGGTTTTACCTCAAGATTTAGATGATTCAGCAAGCTGTCTGATCCGTTCCATAGTCACTGGGATATCTTCATCAGCTAAAGCAGTAAAACAACACCTAAACCAACCCGGTTCTATACAATAACAAGCTGTTCCAGGAGTGGCATTAATCTTAGCAACAGTTAATAGCTTCTCAAATAACTCGAGTTCTCCTTTCTCACTGTAAGATGTCAGTAAGCTTCTCATGTCAACCCAACAATACAACCCGCCACCACTCTCAGCACAAGGAATTCCTAATTGCTTCAAACCTTCCACAAACCGAATATGCTTATCCCGGATCCTTTGCTTGTGCGCTTTCATGTATTCCTCAATAAATCTTACGTCCGATAGCAGAGAGATTAGTATCCTTTGGACTGGAACTGACATTGATGAAAATCTCATCAGCTTCTTCGCGGCATTTACTACGTCTTCATGAAAGGAATAGATGAGTCCAGCTCTAAAACCAGGAATTGAAAGGTCTTTTGATAATCCATAGATTATATGAACCCTACTCTTATCAAATTCCCCTAACTCAGCAATCTCTGCCATGCTAACAAACTCTTTGTCCCCGTAAACAGAACCAGCAAAGATTTCATCAGAAATAACATGGATATTTTTCTCTTGAGCAAATCTCAAAATATCATGAAGCGTCTCCCTTGATAGTATGTTTCCAACAGGATTTGATGGGTTTGAAAATAGGATGCCAGAAACCTTGCTTCCTCGTTTTCTAGCCTGATTCAAAGCTTGTTCCAACGCGGAAACCGTTACAGTAAAATTGTCAGAGCTACGGCAGTGTACTGGTATAAGCTCCACTCCTGTCCGAAATTTAATATCCCTATCAAAGCTGCAAATTCAATTTCCTTAAGTATATCACATAGAATGAGAAAACTGGTGGATGAATCAAGCACTTTTCATCAGATATACATTGGTTTGAGAAGTCTATACTAAAATTACCCTGGATAATATGGCGTCGGAATTAGAAAAGCATTTCCATGATCTGCCAAGCAGAAGGCCAATACTTCCATAGCTGGAGTCCCACCGGCTGTTATTACCATATTTGATGGGTCAAATGACACATTACCTCCCATTATTCGTGACATGAAATCAGCAAAAGCCTGATAGTTCCAAAAATAGAAATTAGACTAGGCAGTGAAGAGGATAGAAGAAATATGATTTCTCCATACAATGTTCTGAAAACATACGCCATCAAGCAAAGGCCAAAGAACTAAATCCACAAGTTTGAAGAGACATCAATCAAAAAACCTCTAATACAGTTTTATAGTCAAAGCAAAGAGCACTAAATGTTTACTACAAAATGGTTATCTATACTTACCACTCTGAGTTCGAGCAATCCTTCAAAAGGTTTATACATGGCGATACTACTAATATCGAATTCACCATCATCAGATTGCATTATCGAGTCCATCAGATTCTCAGACATCCATCTCTGGAGCAAGTCAAAGCACAGCTACAAAACTCGCAAAACGCAATTCCCATGAATAAGTTTCTATAAACAATCACAAAGAATAGAAAAATTTACACAACACTCACCGTACTCTCAGCCAATCCAAGCTGCATAATCCCATCAGTATTCGTAATCCGATCGTACGGATCCGTCTTGACTCTCTCCAATCCAATGTAATAAGGAGAATCAGAAGGTTTCGCCACAGGAACTGCTCGAGAGGAGACTCGAACTCGTCCGATCGAGTTCCCGCGGGAGAAGAGATTAGACAGTGAAGATGTTCTCGGTAACTCCGTCGGGTCGGAGGGAGGAGGACGGCGTCGTTTCAGGTAAAGCTGGAGAAAGTAGAAGAGACAACAAGGGATGAGAGAGCCGACGAAGAGACCACCACGGCCTTGGATTACGCCACGGAGAGGTACTATCAGCCTCATCGGAAACTACTCCGCCGAGTTGCCTCCGGCGTTGAAGAGATTCGAACCGTTCGTTGAGAGTAACGAAGTGGAAGGAGAGAGAGAGAAACAAAAATGTGTGGCAAAGTGTTGAATAAATACAAAAGTTTTGAGATAAATTGGCGAATTATTTTTGCATATTACCAATTTGTCTCTTACGTTTGAAAAGTTGGATAAATAGCCCTTTCAATATTGGTGAAAATATTCAAAGATCTTTTAAGTTTTGGAAATAACAATCAAACCCCTAATCATGATCCAAATCCAAAACTTCTTCATCCAAATTTTAGCATTCAAACCACAGTACATGAGCACTTTTTTAACCAGTACATATATAATCTGACAATTGAAAGGTTCTATATCAAACTAAAAAGGACATGAAAACACATTTATAAAAGGAGATAAAACTTTGGTATTGAAATCCTCAGGAAAAAAATATAATATCAGACGGCCTGACCGGGGCTGCTGCTATGCCAACCTTTAGCGCAAGGCGGTATTTCCATGAACTCGTCAAACTCATTCACGTGAACATCGCAGCATTTCCACTGCACAAAGAAAACATTGATAAAATTCAACACAAACTCAAAAAAAGGGTCAAAGAAGCTGACTGAGCAACGATAGGCGTTACTCACTCCTTTCACTCTGTCATGGAAGACGGGAGGACCTGGATGATAGCTACATGCAGTCTCGTGATTGTCTCTCTCTTTGAATGTTTTGCCACATCCTTTGTTGTTGCAGACTTGCGGTTGATTAATGTCTATAACAACCTTTTTAATAGGAGGTGCTAATGATTCAATCTTTTCTTCTTCTGCTTGTACCGGTGTGTTCAAGGTCTGCCTGATCTGTTCTTTGGGTTGGGAGCCTGTGTGATAAGGATACAATGTCATATATTCTTTTGAATTCACCAATGTATAACGAGAATTTAAAACCAGAGAGAGTGAAGATACCAACCATGGTCTGAGCAGAAGAAGCCTTGCCGGCATCTGGGGCAAGAGTCTTTTGATGCTGGATTGACAACTGGAGATGAAGTAGGAACCGTGACAGGTTGTTTAGGAGCCGGCTTAGCCAGGACTGGTTTCTCAGTTGTGTGTTTACCTGTTTTACATCTTCATTGCAAAAAAAAGTATCAGTGTTTTGCAATAAAACCACAACCTGCATAATATGAAAGATAAAGCATAGCTTATAAGATGAGGAGGTATTATTTATTATTACCCAGGAATTTCCAAGAACAAACTGAAATCATGACTTCGTTGCTTGCAGCAGCTCCACTCTTTCATTCCATCATGAAAAAACGGCTGCGAGTTTAAAAACATTCATAGCTTTAATTCTCAGAGCATACGAGTCTGAAACAAAAAAAAAAACAAACATAAACAGTTGAAAAGTAAATTTGACTTACTCCCTGATTGAACAAAAACGGGTAGTCAGTGAAAAGACCAGCCCAAGCCACACCGGAAAAAACAAAATAGTAAAAGAACATGAATTCCTATAAAAGCTCAAAGCAATAGATGAATATGAAATAAACAAAGGCCAAATGCATATGCAGCAAAGCATAGGTTAGTTAAGCTACTAAACGAAGCCAAAAGATCCAACAAAGACACACAATCATACTTTTGTTTCCTTCTATCAGTTTGCTCACTAAATTCAAAGGGTTGCAGAGAGTTTTGAATTTGACAATTAGAGAATCAAAGCAGTTTTCAAGGCTTTATTTACTTACATCTATATGAATCTACATGTAATCAGCTAATCAAAAAGTTCAAAACCTAATTAACCATTCATCTTCTCAAGCTCAAAAGTTCATTAAAAATCCACAATTCTTCAAAAACACATTCTCCAAATTGAAAAGCTAGCTCCCAAATAAAATTCGGATAAAAAAAACCCAAAATTGATCCGAATTGAAGAATAAGAAGGAGGACTAATCAATCAAAAAGGGTTTGAGTAGCAGAAACTTAAACTAAGACTTGGAGAAAGAAAGAGAGAGAGACGTACAGAAGCATGAAATTGACAAGAACCTTCAGGATTATCGTCATCGGTGAACATGGCGTTGCAGCCAATACGTTGGCACTGAAGCTTCTTCGTTGCAGATCTTACTTCCATTCTCTCTCTTTCTCTCTTGCTCGTGAAATTGTGCAGAAATCGCAGTGGACGACGAATTCGTGAGAAAAAGTTTTTGGGAGTATGTAAAACTAAAGGGGCTTTTTCGTCTTTAGCATAATCTTGACTTTTAAGAAATCAACGGAGCCACGGTCCACGGAAGGTGTATATACAAAAATTCATAATTAATCTTAATTATCTTTATTTATGTAAAAAAAAAAAAGTAAAAATTTCATAACTCGAAGAAGCCCTAATATTACTTTTTTTTTTTTTTGTTAACAGAAGCTTAAGGTTATAATAATAGCAGAACTAGTTAAAACTTAAAATATACCCCCCCCCCCCCCCTCCATTTTCTAAATAATGTCATTTTAACATATTTTACACTAATTAATAATGGAAAGCTAGAGACAACTTAGTTTGTATTGTCGTTGGATAAATGTAAGCTACAAGACATTTTAAATGGTTTCGATTGATCAAAATAAAATTGAGTACGCTTTTGAAAAATAATAATAAAAAAGAGAGATGGATTCAAAAGCATGCATACAAGGCTCTAATATCATTACAACTTACACCAAATAAACAAGCTATATAAGTCGCTTGAACTACACAAGAAGAGGTACTGATTACTACTAGATAGATATATACCATATTACAAAGGAATATGATTTAAGAAACTAGAAAAAAAAGCGAGTCCTGGATCTGATTTGGTCAGTTTTAAATTGTTTTTTGAGCTTCCGGTTTGAGATCAAAATTTGTTTTCCTTTCTTAAATCTTCTTCAGTCAATGTATAAAAGAGACATCACTTGGTTCTGTTATGTACTTCTATCAATGATGCTTTCTCCTGCAAATTCTATAAACAAAACTATTTCCCTTAAGATGATTACTCATTTCATTTTATCAATACATCTATTTAGCTCTGGAAAAGAGTAGGGAATGACCTCGTTCTGGGAACTGTTCTCAGAAGGGAACCATCGAAGGAGGACACCGAGGTTCATTGCACTCGGTATTAACTTGAACAGCAATGGAGTCGTTACCTGTAACATTCCGCATTTGCAGGTGTAAATAAGCTTTTCAGTATAATATTATTTCAAGTATGTTCTCCTGGAATGGGAAGAGGCTTATTTGTACGTTGAGGTAACTTACCAGACTTAGAGCTGTTGTGCCCAAGAGGAGGAGATACATTTTCCCCTACATTGTCATTCATTTTAACAAGAAGTCACAAAGTTAAGTAAGAAGCAAATGGTAAAGGGTGTGTTGAATTACAAAAGCATAAAAGTGTTACCTCGATAACGTGTAGGTTTGACGCTCGGCTTAGAAGCACAAAGGCGAATTCTCCAATCTGAGCAAGTAATACCCCGACCTGTTCAATTAGAGACAACAGATTTACGTGGATTGTTCAGTGACGGGTTTCGATATGAAGGAACTCATAGAAGATTTAGAAGGAGAGGCCAAAAACTCACGTGGAAAGATATCCTCATGTTGTACCTAAAAGCCTTAACAACTACTGCTGCAATTGCTGTCTTAATAACTATCACTAGAATCACCGACGCCAAAAGGATATCCACGTGGTTCCATAGAAAGTGAACATTAATGAGCATCCCGATACTGGATAGAAAGAGAGCGGCAAACAAATTACGAATTGGTTCCACCTACATCACAAAGTAAGGGAGATTTCAGAAATATCAATAACCTGACCTTGAGACTTCACTTTTGTACCAAGTATTTGCAACGTAAAAACAACAACGAGTTCAAAATCAGTACCTGCTCTAGTGTATGTTGAGCAAATTCTGTCGTAGACAACATAACACCAGCCACAAATGATCCCAACTCAAGACTAAGACCCAGCTTGTCACTGCACTGAAAAAGTTTTGCAAGGAACCAACACTAAAGTTAAGAAATTGAAATTACATCAATACGCTATTATACTTGAATACTCCCGTGTCTATTGTAATCATCATTGTTTTCTCTGTAGTCTATTAGTAAGATGCAGCTCAGGTACCAATTTACTCAGATGTTATAATGCACCAAAAGGGATCAAAAACCAAAGCAAAGAAATGATAGAATTACTAACCCATGCAGATAGCAAGCAGAATGCCACAGCAGCTAATTGGTAAAGTTCATTTGTCTGCATTATATAATGAGAGACATTGGCAATAATTCGGATCCCATTTGAAGAAAGAAAGGACGATAGTCAAAGTAATGTCTGGGAAAATACTTCATGTAAAACTTACTTGAGATGACAACTGAATCATTAACTTCAGAAAGCGGGGTACAAATGACCATGTTAGCAAAGATGCCACGGTTAGGTATATGGACAATATCAGGAGCCTAAAATTACAACAATAAAATGTTAAATGTCAGATACGGTAACAAGGATATATAAGAGGTTCCTGGACAATAGTTTTACTATGGAACCCCACTTACAGCTTTCCCATTGATATAATTCCTTGTAGTAAACCACTGTTACCACCCAAAACTGGAAGCAAGGCGAATAGTAAACCAACAACACAGTCCTGAAAATTCAAGATGAAGGAAGAAAATAGCTAAAGGAAACAAAAACTTCATATAACGAAATATTCAGTTTGTAAGTATAGTGTTATGAGTGAAACCTGAAAGATAAGTATCCCTATTGTAACTTGACCATGAAGAGAACTTGTACTATTCCGTTCTACCAAAAACTTCACTACCTGTTCAAATTGACAAGTAGATAATAAACAGAAACTCTGAGATGAAACGGGGGAAAAAGAGTTGCTTTTGTAGAAAATTGAGAAGATTAAAGAAAAGAAAATGTACCACTGCAGTTGATGACATAGATAAAAAGGCACCAACAAAAATCCCCTCTGACAACCTTGCTCCACACAACTGCACATGTCATAAGATATAAATTTCAAAAATAATTTCAAGATTGCAGTATATGCACATATACTGAGCTGTTTGACCATACCAAGGCAGTTACACCACACAAAAACATGAGTAATATAATTTGAAGAAGCCCTCCAAGGACAGCAACTGGGCCAACGACTTTCAGCTGCAGCATTAACAAAAGAACAAGAGATTATCAGAGTGATATTGAAAAGTAGACATGAAATTCTATTCAAGTTACAGTAAACAGTATGTAGATACCCACCTTAGTCATTGAGAATTCCAAGCCCAAAGCAAAAAGAAGGAAAACAACACCAAACTGAGCTACGGTTTCAACCTGCCATAGCATCAGAAGAGGAAACACCGAAACTATGAATACCAGAATAGTTTTTCCGTATGAATGTGGGGATCCAAGTTACCCTTTTATACCCATACTGATGGCTTGAACTCAAACGAGAAGAACAAATTTCAATGCTGAAGCCTTAACATGTTCAGCAAGAAGCAAAAAGTTTATCCAAACATCTAATTGTTATACAGTAGAAGAATTCTATTTCCAACAAACCTTAATTGTAAGAGAACGAAAAGCGAGATCAGTATATAGAACATGTGACAACAGCCCTGAAACTTAAGTGGTCTACTAAGGTCCTCTTACACTAAAATTTGCATGGCGTTGTCTAAAATAACAACCAAAATATGTCTTCCGATTCTGATAATACCTGAACCATTTCACTAATGAATTTCAGTCCTCCTGGCCCAATAATTGACCCCGCAAGAAGATATCCAACAATGACCTAAGGCACATAAAGATAGAATAACATAACATTAGAATAGATAATTGACTTAGAGATACTACGATCCTAATATCAGATGTATTTCATGCTATTATGTAAGGTTGCATACCGGTTGTCCAAGACAAGAGAAGACGATCCCACCAATAGCAGCAAAAACAATAATGACAACCAAATCTGATATCAGTCTGAAAAAATTGTCAAAACCTATTCATCACAAGTCTGAAACAGTGTATGTACCAAAATGCTCCAATACAGAAGAAAAGAGAGAGAGAGAGACCAACCTCAAATCTACTTGAAGTATCGGATACTTAGATTTCTTGTTTGACATGACAAAAACATTATTCTGCATAGTAGCATAAGAAGAACATTAGCTGCAACTATATAAAAATGGTGAGATCAAGTATTAAAATGTTGCTTAGTCTTCCAAAAAACCTTTTTGTCAATAAGAGTCATATCATCAGAATCTTCATTTTCCAGGGAAAAGACATCTTGAAGTTGAAACGGTCTCGTACCACTAGACACATTAGGGAAAAAAAAAAAAAAAAACAAGTCATAAACCCTCACTGAACCACTAATTAACATGGCTATATTCAACAATTACAACAAGCTTCTGCGTACTTATTTTCTTGTGTATCATTCCTTTTGCCCTTCTCATGCGTTACTTTAGCAACAGTCTCTATTTCAGCCTGGCAAACACAATGATAAAATTCTGAATACAGAGCTCAAGAACATTAAAAACTCAAACTCAAAAACTATAACAAGTAACTAAAACCTACTTGTTGATCAGCAACACTGCTGTTAAAGCTAGCTCCATCCGATCCTAAGCAAAAACAAAGAAGATGTTAAGCTTCTTCATCATCCACCAAACGAAATACAAATCACAATCACAAACACTAGAAATACTAACTCTGCTATAATCATCGCACAAAACTATTATTGTTTTTATTTTCTTCACATTCAACCAAAGGAGATCGAAGAAGAAGAAACCTAACCTTCAGGAGAATCGTTTTCGGAAAACTCTTTTTCCAGAACCCGATCGAACATTTTAGCGATACTTCCTTCGCCGTTTCCCGGCGCCGTCGAGTTGACAAGGTTGCCGTAAAACCGCTCCCGCGTTTCTTCATCAGATCTCGCTGATAAAGACGAACCAAGTAGAAGGAAGAACGTAAATCCAATCACTACGAATCTCGCCATTGATCCCAGAGATTTGGGAATCGCCGCGAATCGAATTGCTTTAGAAATCAGATTGATTCCTTCTTTTTGTTTTCTATTCTGTTTTTGTTTTTTTCCTTCTTAGATCCAAAATTTTGAAATTAAATCAATGGAAAAAAGTTTTTCGTAATGAATGGTTGTTAATATTTGTTAATTGTCAAATACGTGCGATTACAATTTGGTTTGGTTCTTCTTTATAATTAAACAAGTCTCGTGACAGAACCAGTCCTTTTCTCACGACACCAATAAAATAACATTATAGTGGTGTGTTCAATAACAAATCCAAATCATAATGGCCACAAAAAACACACTTTACGACATCGTTTAGTAAAGAGAGCGTGATGACCACAAGCTCTTGTCTCCCTTTATACACTTCACATATCTTCTTTCTTACTCCATAAACAAATCACGACCACATAGAGAGTAAGAGAAAGAGAGAGAGAGCTAGATTTTCCAATGGCTACCCTCGCAAGCACGTTATGCACGGGGATAAGTTACGCCGGACAGGTTCCGGTCAAGCGTGCCGGAGAGGTGGGACGTAAGAAGCAGAGAGTGGTGGTGGTGAGAGCAGAAGGAGGAGGAGGAATCAATCCAGAGATCAGAAAGAATGAAGAGAAGGTGGTTGACTCTGTAGTCGTCACCGAGCTTTCCAAGAACATAACTCCCTATTGCAGGTTTTTCACATAGATATATATAGTTAACTCCTAGGATATTTTGTGTGCATATGTATATAAAAAAGAACGAGCTTTGCATGGTGATGGATTTGATATGATGTGTTTAGGTGTTGGAGGTCGGGGACGTTTCCATTGTGTGATGGGAGTCATGTGAAGCACAACAAAGCTAATGGAGATAACGTTGGCCCTCTTCTTCTCAAGAAACAGTAGTTGTTCGATTGTGTCTTGTTTCCCCTTTGCATGATGCAGTAGCTTTCTCTTTTTTTGTTTGGGTGATGTATTGATTGACACTTGTCTTATTGAATAAAAAGATTATATTATCTAGTGAAACGGTCTTGTTTATGTCTAGCTTTTTATATGTGGGTACGTGGTGTTGTTGTTCTTACACTTTATCGGGTGATTTGTATATGCGCAATCTTTCAAAGAAGATGTGGACTATGCCAATGGCAATGTGGATTCTATCATAGAAGATGTGGAGGATACTATCAGAGATGAGGTGGATTCTATCATAGAAGATGTGGACTCTGTCAAAGACGATGTACATTCTATCAAAGAAGAGGTGGCTTCTATCAAAGCAACTATAACCTCTTTGAAATCAACACTTGATTTGCTGCCCACGAATTGAGGATTTACTTGCTTTTTTTACCTCTTTCCAAGTATACAAATCTCTCTTCTTAGATCACTTGTTTTTGCATATAAAAATTTATATTGAATTTTTTTTTATTGGACAAGTTACTTGTGATAACGTATTAAAACTATCAAAGTCTTTGATTTAAACTTTTAAATTTATTCTTCTAAATTTTACAAATTTATCCCATATAAAAACGTTAATAAAATTCATCTCGTATCTCTGACACCAATTGGCATGTTGTGTTGTTTTGATCAAGTATTCTGTATTCCATTATATTTTTCACAAGATTTTGTTCATCATATAAATATGACATTATACCCTATATATAGATAGAGGAAATTTGGAAAAATGTCCTGTGTTCTAATATGTAAAATGACTTAATTTACCAAATTAAAAATCAATAATTTTTTTTAAATTACATTTAAAAATATAAAATCGATTTTGAATTATAGGTAATAATTTTGTGATTTTTTTTTTTCACAAAATTTGTATCTAACTATCTATTCTAAAGATGTTTTACACAAATATTTCTTAAAATAGGAATAAATATGTTTTACACAAATATTTTCTTAAAATGATAATAAATATTATGTTATTAAAAATAAATAAATAAATTCACAATGTAAAAGATATAAACAAACTTTTTTTTTATTATGATTAGCTCATAAACATTTATAAAAACTTAAAAACTTCTGAAGAAGACAAAAAATAAGTTATGCATTTATGTTATAATTGTTTTTAGAGAAGTAGACTCAATTTTGGAAATTTGATTTGAATTTTGATATAAGCATGATGAATATTCAACTAAAATTTTTATAATATTTTGAAAAAAAATCTTTATCTTAAAAAAAATAATTAATATATATTTCAAATTTAAACTATTTTCTAATCTAAATTGTAAATTTAATTTTGATTTTTTAAATATAAATCTTTTCATTTAAATCATGACAAATCGATCATTCTATATATGTAAAATATATATTTTATTTAAAATAGCAATAGATTTTTTTTTTATCTAAAACAGAAATATGGTATTTTTTCAAACTAAATTTAGATATATAATTAGATTTGGGTTATTTTCGAGTATCGGTCCCAAAGTTTTTGGATTTAGAATTTAGAGGGTTTAGAATTTTGTTGATCCCGGCTGAGATTTTATATTTTCATCGCCATCTTCTCGGGTCCAGACTCCAGACTCCCTCTCGAATACCCTAGCTAGCACTCTCGCTCTCAATGGCAAAATCTATCACCGAAGTAATCTTCTTCTCTGTTTTTATATGTCTCTTTCTCTGTTAACAATGGTAAATTTTTATACAAAATTTAAACGGACTTTGCTCTTTTCTCTTTTCGATTTTCAGGATGAAGCTTCTCCTTCTCCAGGTTAGAATTTCGTTTTCCGGCAGCTTAGTATTTTCCTTACTAAACACGGGATGATTTGTCTCCTTGTCTCGCTTATGAGTCTAGCTCTGAATTGTTTTTTACACTTTATCGGGTCTGTAGATGTGAGTTCCATGGATCCTCTCGAAGTAGCTGCGGGCTCTCTCAAAGAAGAAGATGTGGATTCTTTCAAAGATTGTGTGGCTTTTGTCAAAGATTATGTGGAATATATTAGAGGATATGTGGCTTCTTTCAAAGAAGAGGTGGCTTATGTCAAAGAATATGTGGATTCTTTCAAAGAATATGTGGACTCTGTCAAAGGCGATCTGCGTTTTATCAAAGAAGAGGTGGCTTCTATCAAAGCAACTGTGAAATCAACAATTGATTTGTTGCCGACCAAGAAGGATTTACCTGCTTTTTCGACCTCATTCAAAGTATATAAAATCTCTCTTCTTGTTCACTTATTGTGCTTAGTTATTGTGTTTTGCACTAAGTTTGATTTGGTTGATTTTGGCAGAAACGTGATGAAGGTGAAGAGCCTGCCAAGAAAAAGTTAAGCATATTTAATCTTCTATATTATTTTTTTTCTTATGTAACTGTAAGTGCCAATTAACACAAATCGTATTCTGTTTATATGTATGTACAGGCTAAAGCAGACACCAATACTCCTAACATAGAGAGCAGTAGTAATGTTTCTAGCAAGGAATCTGCTGTAGTAACCCCAGAACTAATATTTCGTCCTGGCACTGCTGAACCTCATCCTCTTGAAAAGACTGCTAAGGTAGGCGAGAGAGTCGTATTCAAGCCAGAAACTGGGGCGAGGTAAAATTGATTATACAAGTTTTGGAGACATGTGTTCTTTTGTGTTGATTATATTCTCTCCTGCAAGTCATTGCACTGATGACACTGGTGCATGGTAAATTCAGATATGATAGTGGCACGATTTTCGTAAAGGGATATGATTCTTCGCTTTCTGAGGATGATATCGCGAGAGCAATGCTTGAGCATTTCAGTCCATGTGGAATGGTCAGAAGAATATACTTTTACACAGATGGAACCTCAGCTATCTTGAGGTCTATGTGACTGCTTTCTTACTCCAATTTTGTGATGAACTAATTAAAGTTAAAAATGCTAATATGTTTTCCCGTTCTTTTGACAGACATGTTTTCATTGAAATGTTACAAGGCACAGAGGCCGCTTTAAAACTTAATGGAAGTGACCTGGGAGGATGCAAACTTGAAGTTCATGATGCGAAAAAGAGAGAGGAATACTATGGCCTTCGTGATGTGAATATTCCTTATATCCCGGTTCGTCGTAATCAGCATGTGGATCCAAGAATGTACGCAAGCGCAAGGTACACACACAAATTTTGTTCTTGATAAATTTATTCTAGTCTCTTGACAACAAAGTGTCATTGAATTGTGATTTTTGTTTTTTGGTCTTTTAGAGAATGCCCTCCTGTGTATGGCATTGTCAGTTCTAGCAAGATGAACAAGTCATAGAGACCAGCTGCAGCTACTGCTGATGTGACTTGTTTCTCGACCAGCTCACATTTAAAATTTTAATAATATTATGTCTGTGTTTATATCTATTTATATAAGAATAGTGGCCTAATGATAATGTTATGAAACTGCGTTCATGTATTTCACTATTTGGTTTAGCTACTTTAGCCTTAGGACAACCTTTGTAAGCTTGGATATATAGATCCTGAGAGATGTTCAATCCTAAGATTGAGACCTTTATATGGGGTTTCTTGCATGTAGGCTATACACTTGGATCCCATTCTGTTAAGGAGTCTTCAACCTCACACAAATCTTCTCAGCACTTGCTTCAACTTCAGCTTTTCTGCGTTCCTTCATCCCTCTTATCAGTTCAGTGATTTGGTGAGTGATGATGATAAACGATGATGATGATTGAGAGAGTAGAGGACCCAAGAAGAAGAAGAAGATGTTATTTACTCTTCAACCGAAATAAGCGTTGAGAAGGACAAACCACTTGGTTCAACACACGTAAACCTACTAAATACAAATTGAATTAACTAAAACCAAATGATTGATTGAACCGGAATTCATAAAAACAGATGAGAGTAACATAGAAGAAATTCAAAGTGTGTGATAGTAGTGGCTTGTTCTTATCAGAACTACTGGTCACTTGGCGTTTTGAACGACTGGTTTAACGTTTAAAAATAAGTGTGTTTGCGGGGAGGTTTGTGACTGGTTGACCAGTAGGTGCAATAGCGGTTAAATTAAAAAATATAAACGGTATAAAAACCCAAATAGTACATTTCATGATAAAACATTTTATGAAAAGGTGCAAAAATGTTAAACATAATTAATAATAAAAACCATAAGTAATTACTAATTATAAATACTAAATAATTATTTAAATATAAAATAATATAGTGAAACACAAAAAGTAATTTTTAATATTGGAAAATGAAATTAGTGAATGATTATTATTTGAGAATTAATGTGAATGATTATTAGTGAATGATTATTATATATATATATATATATATATATATATATATATATATATGTTGATTTCAGAGCTTGTGGTTCCCTATGACGGATGCAATGACTCAGTTGCTGCATCATTTATTAGGAAATGCACTAAAACAATGGGAAAACTATCGCAGCTAAGCTTCTTGATGATCCATTCTTTAATGGAATATCATGTGATGACAAAGAAGAAGAAGTTAACAAAGCCATTCCGCAGATGATTAGTTGAACATTGCTAATTGGACATATTTGGTGCATTCATTTTTGTTTATTACCTTATCATTTCTAATATTTTATTTTCTCAGAGCCAATCCTCTTAGAGCTGGAGGATGAAGATACCGTACATACCTAATACGCCTTTCACTCAATTGAAGGTAATTTGTGTATATATTTATAGATTTACACATATATTTGGATAAATTTCAACATTTTGTGCCTTTTTGATAAATTTTAAATAAAGAGGTATTTTTGAAAAATAGTATCTGAAAAGGAGTAATATTCATCTCGCAAATAATGCGTCTTGCACATAATATTCATATGTTGATAAATCATCCACATATTTGGATAAATTTCAACATTTTGTGGCGTTTTTGATAAATTTTAAATAAAGAGGTACTTTTGAAAAGTAGTATTTGAAAAGGGGTAATATTCATCTCGCAAATAATGCGTCTTGCACATATTAATCATACATTGATAAATCATCTGAGCTGTAAGGACTCCATAGTGTCTTGGCAGAAGGTTCTTTGGATGAATCCAGAATTGCATGTACATACTCCTTTGATGACAGCAAAGCAATCAATGTTTTGATAAAAGCAACAAACAAGTTTAATTGGACTTACAATTGCTGAATTAGCCGTCAAACCGACATGTTATTTATGAAATTAGATCATTTCTAAACCGAATTTAAAGACGAACATTTCTTTTCATCCTCCTCTCTCACATTATAAAACTAAATATTGTACTCGCACGAGATTTTAGTTTAAAAGATTTACCAATATGAATTGTTGAATAATTTATGGGCTTTACATAACTGGGAAAGAATTAATCAACAATAACATTTTGTTCTGTTTTTAAGATCCATTCTCCACATCATTACCACACAAAAAAAACACATAAATTATATGAGTGAAACTGTAAAGTTGTGATATAAACTTAAAATTATCTGAATTGGTTAAATATTACCATAAATATATAATTTTATATCACAATCATTAAACCATATGACATCATAACATACTATACTATCTTTTTCATCTAGTCAATTTTGTAACAAATGTAGTTAAGTTCATAGCTTTGTCCACCAACAAATTTACTACAGTAGTATTAAATTTCATTCACTCGAAACCAGGTTTTATCTCGGTTTATTTATTTTTCCGGTTATTAAGCAACTTATACCGGATACAACCGAATAAAAACCCCCCTTTCTTTCTCCTTCTTCTTCTTTCTCGAACGTTCGCCAAAAAAATTTCCTCTCACATTGTAAAGTTTTAGCTTTGATCCGCAAATTTCTTCACCGAATTGCTTCTTCAAGCTCCGTTCACAGCTGCAATGTCATGGTACCGAAGATCAAAACTTGCGTTCGATACCTTGCGACGTAACATAAATCCGAAGAGTCTACCTCGATCTCATGTCCCTTCGAGAATCAATCCAGCTGGGTCTTCTAATCCCACAACTAATTTTTCTGGGTTCTCTTCAATTCCTTCGAGAGAACTGGGGTTAAGATCATACACATCTCTTGGGCAAAACTCGAATAGAATCGCGTATAACCCGTTTCTGAGTGTGCCCAAGAGACATTACTACGTTGATCGATACCAAGTTCGTCATTTCAAGCCACGAGGACCAAGACGATGGTTTCAAAACCCTAGAGCAGTGTTGACGGTGACGCTGGTTGGTTCTGCTGCTCTGGTCACTTTGTATTTTGGGAATTTAGAAACGGTTCCTTACACAAAGAGAACACATTTCATTCTATTGTCGAAATCTATGGAGAAATTACTAGGGGAAAATCAGTTTGAGGAGATTAAAAAGCAGTACAAGGGAAAGATTCTTCCTGCTATTCATCCCGAGAGTATTAGGGTTAGATTGATATCTAAAGAGATCATTGATGCGTTGCAGAGAGGTTTGAGTAATGAGCGTGTGTGGACTGATTTAGGGTATGCTTCTACGGAGACTACTTTGGGTGGTAGTGATAAGGGAACGAAGGAGACTGCAATGGCTATGAGTGGTGAAGATACAATGACTGATATGAAATGGTCTAAAGAAGATCAGGTTCTTGATGATAAATGGATTCAACAAAGCAGGAAGAAAGATTTACATGCTCATGCTGCCACTTCTCATCTTGAAGGGCTTAATTGGGAGGTTCTTGTGGTTAATCAGCCTGATGTTAACGCGTTTTGCATGCCTGGTGGGAAGATTGTGGTGTTCACTGGCCTGCTTAATCACTTCAAGTCAGATGCTGAAGTTGCCACTGTGATTGGGCATGAGGTATGAAACCTTCGATTGTTTTCATTTTGTAGATGTGCTTTGTTTTCTGTTAGGCTGCTTGTTGATCTGAAAATGATTAGGTGAGTTGCTAGTGGAACGAAAGCATGGTTTTTTTTCTTCTTCTGATTTGTTCTGTTTATGGGATTAGGTTGGTCATGCGGTGGCCCGACATATAGCTGAGGGAATAACGAAGAATTTGTGGTTTGCAATCCTTCAATTGGTGCTCTATCAGTTTGTCATGCCCGATCTTGTGAACACGATGTCTGCCCTTTTCTTGAGGCTTCCTTTCTCCAGAAAGTATTTCCTCTTCCTTTCTTCCCATCAAACATTATCTACTCTCTTTTACTGTCAATCCTTTGTTTTTTACTGCAATAGCTCTTTAGTTCTCAAATAGCTCATGAGGTCTATATTGAGGAAAAATAGCTTTTTGGGAAGTTTTTGGTTCAAATTTTCACATTCTTTTGCAAATGATCAGGAACAACAGTTCGGAACTTCAATATATTGTAAGAAACTAATCACTTGGTTAACGTTAGAAGGTGCTGGTGTAGTTAGGCATGGTAGGAGAAGAAGCGAATAAGGACAGTTTGAGAATTAGTTTTTCACATTCTTTTTCGAAATATATCAGGAGCAACAATTGGTAAGATTGGATGTATTTTAAACAAACTAATCATCTAGTGAACCATTCTGCTCCAATAGCTAATGTTTTAAGTAGCTGTTATTGTAGTTAGGGTAATGGGAGGAGAAATGTAGCAGAAAATGAAAGATGCGTATGGGTGTGAGGGAGGAAAACAAGTTCTGATGCATTCAGATTCTTTTTTTGTGTGTTACATTATAGGATGGAGATGGAAGCGGATTACATTGGTTTGTTGTTGCTTGCATCTGCGGGATATGATCCACGAGTAGCTCCCTCAGTTTATGAGAAGCTGGGTAAGCTCGGTGGAGACACACTAGGAGACTATCTATCAACACATCCCTCGGGGAAAACGAGATCAAAGCTTTTGGCTCAAGCCCATGTGATGGAAGAAGCACTAATGATCTATAGAGAAGTCCAATCAGGTCGCCAAGGCATTGAAGGCTTTCTATAGCCTTTCTCCACTCATCTCTCAGCTTGCATCTGTACGTTATTTACTCTCCAGCTTTTCTTTTTATACATGTTACATGTTATGTTAGTATGTTCTCGTTGATGCAATAAAGTGATTATGACTGAGACATATAGTTGGAATATAGATGAACATTTTAGACATTGATAATGCAAATGGTGGGAATAGGAAAAGAACATCCAATCGAATAATTCATAAACACTGAATTGAATACATCTATTGATTCAATGAATCATAATTGATCTATTGATACAAGTCATTTCAGAAATATCAAAAGTTTCTTTGCTTCTTTTGGGATAATAGCTTGAGAGTGAAAAAAAGTGGTCCATTTTGCTCATGAGCTTTAAATGTTGTAATAGACCGTTGAGCTGACCACTGCTATTCTCAGTAAATTCAATTCCATTGAAAGAGATAGAAACTCTATTTTACACAAAATTATTGTATGTCACAAAACCTTATTTTCAATTGAACTTATGACCAAAGAAGATAGCATTATACTCAACATTTGTGTAAGTTTAGCTTTTAATACCATTTAAGATACGGCAACACGGATCCACCGCATTGTATTGAAGCGTTAAAAGACTCATTTAAGGAGGTACGAATGATTCAGTCTACCAAAGAGAATCCTACAGACTCATGTCTCAAACTTTTAAATAACAATACTTGCTTATATATTCTCACCTCACAAAATTCCAAAGCAAATGAGAAAAGCTTGATGTGACTTATTTTGTTTTCTACGTAAAATGAGAATAGAGAAAGTGATAAATCAAAGAACATGCTCCTAGACTCCAAAGACTCAACTTATATTAATCTTTCATGCCTTCATAGTTTATACATCAGAGCAATGCTAACACTAACCTCAAAATACTCAAAACAAAGAAGCATAAAATAATTGAATTCGATACTGAGTCATAAATTCTCAAACCTAACGGTACTAATATTTGCATAGAAGTAGGAGAAGGAAGCATGAGGTCATTAATTACTCTTCTCTGCCAATACCAACCACTTGTTAGTAATTGTGCACACAGAACATGTATGGAAACCACCTCTGCCTTCACCTTTATTACCTTCTCCATCCAAGTAACAACAACAACACTCTTCTCTGTATCTCTTTTATCTTCTCCAGAGAGATAGAGAGAAGAATCTCTTACTAGTCTCCACTCCAACAATGGCTAACAAAAACCCTCTTCAAAAATGCTTTCTTTTCATTATCTTGTCCATCAATCTCATCTTTGTTCAAGCAGAAACTGTTCAAATCTCTCAGAAGAAGACTTATGTTGTCCACATGGATAGATCAGCCATGCCTTCACCTTACACTAATCACTTACAATGGTACTCTTCCAAGATAAACTCTGTAACACAACACAAATCTCAACAAGGAGAACAAGGTGACGACCGGATACTCTACACTTACCAGACTGCCTTTCACGGTTTAGCTGCTCAGCTTACTGAAGAAGAAGCAGAGAGGCTCGAAGAAGAAGATGGTGTTGTAGCTGTGATTCCTGAGACAAGATACGAGCTTCACACGACAAGAAGTCCAACATTTCTCGGGTTAGAAAGACAAGAGAGTGAGAGAGTTTGGGCTGAGAGAGTCACCGACCATGATGTGATAGTTGGTGTTTTAGACACTGGGATTTGGCCTGAGAGTGAGAGCTTCAACGACACGGGTATGTCCCCTGTTCCTTCTAATTGGAGAGGAGCTTGTGAAACAGGAAAAAGGTTCTTGAAACGTAGTTGCAATAGAAAGATCGTTGGTGCTAGAGTTTTCTACAAAGGCTATGAGGCTGCAACGGGGAAGATCGAGGAAGAGCTTGAATACAAATCACCAAGAGATAAAGATGGTCATGGGACACACACTGCAGCTACTGTAGCTGGCTCACCTGTTAAAGGAGCTAATCTTTTTGGATTCGCTTATGGTACGGCTCGAGGGATGGCTCCAAAGGCAAGAGTGGCTGCTTACAAAGTCTGTTGGGTAGGAGGATGTTTCAGCTCAGACATTCTGTCAGCTGTTGATCAAGCTGTTGCTGATGGAGTCCACGTCCTCTCTATATCATTAGGTGGTGGGATCTCAACTTATTCCAGAGACAGTTTGTCTATAGCAACGTTTGGAGCAATGGAGATGGGAGTTTTCGTTTCGTGTTCAGCTGGTAATGGAGGTCCTGATCCTCTTAGCCTTACTAATGTTTCTCCATGGATCACAACAGTTGGTGCAAGTACCATGGACAGAGATTTTCCAGCAACAGTGAAGCTAGGAACTATGAGAACATTCAAAGGAGTGTCCCTTTACAAAGGCAGAGCAGTTTTGTCTAAGAACAAACAGTATCCTCTTGTTTACTTAGGAAGGAACGCTAGTAGTCCTGATCCTACTTCGTTCTGTTTAGACGGTGCTCTTGATCGGAGCCATGTAGTAGGAAAGATCGTGATATGCGACCGTGGTGTTACTCCACGCGTGCAAAAGGGTCAAGTTGTTAAAAAAGCAGGTGGAATTGGGATGATTTTGACCAACACTGCAACAAATGGTGAAGAGCTTGTTGCAGATTCTCATTTGCTTCCAGCAGTTGCTGTTGGAGAGAAAGAAGGTAAACTGATCAAACAGTACGCGATGACTAGTAAAAAAGCTACGGCGACACTAGAGATTCTTGGAACAAGAATTGGAATCAAACCTTCACCAGTTGTAGCAGCATTCTCATCAAGAGGACCAAATTTCTTGTCACTAGAGATTTTGAAACCGGACTTGGTGGCTCCAGGAGTTAACATCCTTGCAGCTTGGACTGGTGACTTGGCGCCATCGAGTTTATCATCTGATCCAAGGAGGGTTAAGTTCAATATACTGTCTGGAACTTCAATGTCATGTCCTCATGTGAGTGGTGTGGCTGCTTTGATAAGATCAAGGCATCCAGATTGGAGCCCTGCAGCAGTCAAATCAGCTCTCATGACAACTGCTTATGTTCACGACAACACACTAAAACCTCTTTCGGATGCATCAGGAGCAGCTCCTTCATCGCCTTATGATCACGGTGCAGGACATATAGATCCATTAAAAGCTATGGATCCTGGTTTGGTCTACGACATTGGACCTCAAGATTACTTTGAATTCCTCTGCACTCAAGATTTAAGTCCTTCACAGCTTAAGGTGTTCACAAAACATTCAAACAGAACCTGCAAACACACTCTTGCCAAGAATCCTGGAAACTTGAACTACCCGGCGATCTCAGCTTTGTTCCCGGAGAACACACGTGTTAAATCCATGACACTTAGAAGAACTGTGATCAACGTTGGTCCTCATATTTCAAGCTACAAGGTTTTTGTCTCGCCTTTCAAAGGCGCATCCGTCACTGTCCAGCCTAAAACACTCAACTTCACTTCGAAACACCAGAAGCTATCCTACACGGTTACTTTCAGGACAAGAATGCGGATGAATAGGCCTGAGTTTGGTGGTCTTGTGTGGAAGAGCACGACACATAAAGTTCGTAGTCCGGTTATAATCACGTGGTTGCCTCCTCTGTAGACAACAACCACTGTTTGAATAATTTTAATGTTTCCATTAGTTCCACGAATAAAATTTCCTAATGTAATGAGAGCTCTTCTCTAGATCAATGCTTTAAAACCTGAATAGAATTGTTCTTTGTCATTATAATTCACAACCATACGCTTCTTTTGTCACAATGGGAACACTTAAGAAAAAGCCTAAGTTATCTTTCTTATTTAATAAACTACAAAGGGAAGTTAGGATTCGTGTGTTGCGAGAAGGGTGTGGAGATTTGGGTTATGGATGAGACACAAGGTTGGTCCAAGATTGTGTTTGGTAAGATATTATCGACGATGGACGGTTCTTACTATTGGAATAGCATTGGTGTTACTCGTGCTATAGTGAGATCGTTTTTGTTAAGTGTAAGTACCGTACTCAAGATGTGTTACGTGTCTTATATTATCATCCGAAGCGACATAGGAAGAGGTATGTTGACCTCGAAGGCATTTATCCCAAGGAACGTAACAAAGGCGTACCGATTGTGTAATCTGGGCTGTTCCGGATTATGTTGAGAACACTATGCGTTTGTATTAGTTAAGAATTTTCCAAATAGAGCTTATACATACATATATGGTTCATTCTTTATTTTATTTAGCTCCATCAATTTAATTCCCTCGCCTAAATATTTCTATTTTAATTACAAAGTAGTATTTTTAAATATGGGAAATATTGTCGTGAAGAATGAGACTACTTATTAAAATATCTAGACCTTGTGTACTAAAACTTAGCCTAGAATAAAACTGATACTTCGTAACTAAACAACCTTTAGTTTATTGTATTGCCGTACATGTTCCCTTTTAAGTTGTCCTTTCAAGATACGGAGTCTTATAAGGAATAAGAAAAGTCGGTTACAGTCCATGAACCCAAGCTATATAGTTTAAGAGAACATGCCAAAAACGAGTAGATAATACTTCGAAACTATTATATATGGTTTGAAACGATATGGTTTAACAAGACCCAGCTAGATCGATATGCTTTGACACAGATCTCAATCCCTAGTAACAAAATTCTACATTAGAAAAATATAAAACAAATGTTGTGTAGTATAAGTTGATATATAGTGGAAGATGAGAACAAAGTAAAAGGGAGCTTCGAGTAGCTTCTATTTTTGGAAAATCCAAAACAGAAACAAAGAGATGTGTGATGCAAAAGCGGCAAGTCATTGGAAATAAGGATGTGTGATCTCTTGACTTGCCCCTTGGTTCCCATTTAGGGCCTGGACGGTGCATGGCCTTGCAGCTTAGAAAACTCCCATACGACCACGTGTATTTTGAAATTGTCGACTGTTTATCTCAAATGAGTAAGCATGAAAAAAATACGAACATTTTGTTGACAATGATTTGATTTGGTTCGAATGGAACATTTTTTGTTATTCAAATTTATTTATAATCTTTAATCATATGTATTTTCTAATTTCGTTTATAATGTCTTAATTTAAAGATGTTAATTATAAAAGTAATGACACATGAAAACATATCTATGTTGTACATAAAACAATAATTAACTCGCAGTCATTAGAAAATCAAAATACGTAAAAGCATCATATAAATAACTTAAAATCTACAGTCCTCATATTTGGGAATTCTGCTACAAAAGCAATACAACTAAGGTTCATGACATCACTTGAGTTCTCTATATTTACCTGGTCGTCAAAATTCTCTGTTCTATCTGATATATATTAGTTTGAGAAAAATAAAAATAAAAATAAATCTATATAATATCTATATATATATATATATATATATTTGTTTATAAAAACAACTTCCTCCTTCAATCTAATTCGAGTCGATCTCATCAAATTTAAGCTTTTTTTTTTTGCTTGCTAAAAATACTTTTCTTATCAAAGAAACCAATCTCATCAAAGAAACCAATTTTCTTACTTTTTACATACAGTCCTAAAAATTCGTTGAGTTATGTCATGAAAAAAAATTCTTTACACTTGCCTCAAAACTTATTTTTTTTTTATAGTTAATTTAATTTCGATTAAATTTTTCCATAAAATATACTGACTTGAGTGTCATAGAGTCTTGTAAAAACAATTCATAGGTATTTCCCATGCTTCAACACATTATTTTCTTTTCATTTTTTGCAGGAGATTTAGAAATTGGATTTTTTTTAGGATTTTCGAAGTCCCTTCCTTAGGCATATTCATCTATTCACAGCAGTCAAATCTCGATAAAAAAAAAACCATACACACAAAATTTAAATAATTTGTTTTTGTAAACAATTCACAAAAATTGAATTAATAATTTAAACATCAATGTCATTTGACTATGTGTTCAATCTAGTTACTATTTATACATTTGAAAAGAGAGCGATGGACGTAAGCACCTTCAACCACATTCATCTTTACACCAGCTTTTGCCACTTTCATTGATAGAGAGCATTTTGTTCACGCCTCATATCATTACACTGCCGAAGCTAATCAAAGTTAAGTAGATTGTTGCCAATATATATATATATGGAAATCCTCACATAGTTCAAAACTCATCGTTCTGTTCTTATTTTTATGTATATCAAAATGATTCTACAAATGTGTGATAAGCTCATAGCTCCCATGAAACTTTTTGTTTCAACAATTTTTTTTTGGTAAAATTAACAACCTCTGTTGATAATAATTAAATTAACATTCACCAAAACAAAAAAATTTTAAAAACTTACACATATCTCAATATTAGTTTTCTTATTTGAACAATATTTTTGACTAATTATCATATGTATTTTTAATCATTCATTTAAAGACGACCATTTTTATTCTACTCGTATTAAGCAATTACTATGAGGATTGATCCTTATATTTCAACTTCACCCGCTTTGAAAGACCTCAAAGAAGTTGTAAACATTGATCACACTGTTTTCTTAACTATTGAGAAATATGAAAAACCATCACATGATTCTTCTATATTGTATAAGTATTAGATTTAAAAAAAAAAAAAAGAACAAATCAAATCTGTTAGCAAAAAAATAAATAAATCTCGCCGTTTTTCTTCCTTTGTAGGAAACCAAAATAAAGAATAAAAGGAATATGGCACTGATGGACTAAACTGGCATAAACTATGCTACGTGTTTAACTGCTACAAGTCGCTAAACCTGAGGAATCGAGAAGTTGTAGATGATCGCTATGTGACATCTGTTGCACCGAAAAAAAGAGTTACTTGTGACGATTGACGATTCGTCAACCTTTTCTCTCCGGCGATATCTCCAACTTTTTGGTTTATCCCATGATTTGGTTTAAGTATACTGTTCAAGTCTACTATACAAAAAAATCTTGAGATTTGAAACGATCGATCAGAAACTGTTATTCCAGAGTTTGATTTAGTTGAACATATTTTCAAGATAATGGGTTTCATAAGTTATATAGTTCGTTTTAAATTTGGTTACATGCATAGTCATTTGTTTTTATATTAAATTTTTAGATAGTACTCCTTTGTTTCATAAAAAATATTTTTTTGACACATTTCACACAAATTCAGAAAGTATTAAAATATATATATATATATATATGTTTCTATTACATAAATGGTTAGTGATTTAGTTAATTATAGATTAATTTGGAAATTTTACGTAAAAAATACAACGAAAATGTAAATGACACTTTTTATGTAACAAATTTTTTTTTATGTAAAATGACATTTTTTGTAAAATAGAGTAATGATATTTTTTGTGAAACAAAGAAAATAATAAAAAGAAATTTAGATGTGATGTTCGCTATCTAATTGGTAACTGCAAACTGATATTTTGGTTTATTTAGTTGATTAACATATAATTAGTTGATTACAGAAGTCAATTAATCTAATTTAAGTGATCTAAAAATTAGCATTGAATGATAGTATGAACATGTGGCCGTAAGTTATACGACTAAACTACGTAAGAGGTAGTAATAAATTTACATACATATTATTATTTTCAAACCTTAACCTCTAAATCCTAAAATATAAAACCGAATCAAACTATTTAGTATCTTATAAACGTATTTAACTATCACACACAATTTTTTTTTTTTTGTCCTACGATTATACTTTGTTAATTGTTCATCAGTACAGACACTTTGTAAACGAATCAAACTATTTTGTAGTAAAGTGATATATTAGCTTCCGGCTCATGGTTTCAAGTAAAGGAAGGAGAACGAGAAAGAAGCTAAAGAGCCTAAAGATCGAGCAATCTTTAAAACCAACGAGAAAGAAAAGAAAAAAAAGATCTCAAAACCGGATGCGTTTTAACATAAAACCGAAGGCGTCTCCACGTGGACAACAACTTAACACCTGAGCCTAACACGCGAACACATCGAAGCCCCGACACGTGTTCTGTCTTCCTCGTAAGCTGCTTATGTTCAAAGTGGAGTTCCTCTCTTTCCCTCGTCCCTATGTATATAAAGCGGTGCTCACTTGATCCACCGAGACGAATGTTGAAAACATGACTGAAATCTACAGAACTATCTCAACCGGACGTGGCGACGACGTTTCCCCGACTAAATGCCGTGAACGTCGGAGGAGGAGGATCGAGATGCGGCGGCAAGCGGCGGTTTTCGGCGATCCTAGTTCGTCTTCGTCATCGACGACTAGGAATCGTGATCGGCCTGACATGGAAGTTTACTCAAGTTTTGACGTTCCGTTGAAGAAACAAGCTCGGAGGTCGGAGATCGGTGGTCTTCCGACGGATATCGGAGGTTTCTTCACGTCTCCGACTCCTTCTTCCCACCATAAATTGGAAACGCCGGTGACGTGGAAGGGAGAAGAAACAGAGGATGAGCCGTTGTACGGATTTGTTTCGGTTATGGGAAGATCTCGTAAGATGGAAGATTCGGTTACTGTTAAACCGAGTTTGTGTAAACCGGAAATTAACCAGAATAGACCGGTTCATTTCTTCGGTGTCTACGATGGCCATGGCGGTTCTCAGGTAAGCCAAAACGAGAGATCCGAGTATTATATGTTATGTACCAGGGGTGTTTTGGTTATTTAATATGAAAGAGGCTGATGTGATGTGTGTGGACAGGTGTCAACATTGTGCAGCACGACGATGCACACGTTAGTTAAGGAGGAACTAGAGCAAAGGCTCGAAGAGGAGGAAGCAGGTAGCGAAGATAACGTCTTGGAGAAGTTATGGCGACGAGTGATGAATAGGAGTTTCAAGAGGATGGATGAGATGGCAACGAGGACATGTGTGTGTGGGACTAGTGTACCTTTGTGTAACTGCGATCCTAGGGAAGCTGCGATTTCGGGTTCTACAGCTGTTGCGGCCGTTCTAACGCAAGATCATATCGTTGTAGCCAATACTGGTGACTCACGTGCGGTGTTGTGTCGAAATGGGATGGCTATTCCTCTGAGCAACGATCACAAGGTGGTTTTCTTGATTTGTAGAGTTAGTACTACTACTACTCTGTTTTAGCTCATATAAGAGGGTTGAGGATATTAGAGTCTCTGTGGCTGAAGTTGTCGAGTTTTTATGCAGCCGGATAGACCAGACGAGCGTGCGAGGATCGAAGCAGCTGGTGGTCGAGTTTTAGTAGTGGATGGAGCTAGAGTTGAAGGAATTCTAGCCACGTCAAGGGCCATAGGTATATATATTTCTCCATTCTTTGATTTTGGTAATTGAGTGTCTTGAGAGTCTTGATATATATAGAGCCTACAAAGGCTTCAAAAAATAGTAAATAATATGAAACCGAAGGTACTATATAGTCTATTTTTTTTTTATCAAAGTTCTATATAGTCTATATGCTGATAAATTTTCATTTCATTTTAGTTAATATTCCAAAAACAAAAAAAAAATATCTTCAGTATATGTAAAGTTCTATTTTAAAGATAAGATTATGTGTACAAATTTATACTTGTTATTTGTTGTATTCAATAAAACAGAAATTTTTGAATCATTTTACTAAAATATAGAATGAGTGGCCATTCAAACAAACCATCTTCTTCTTAATTTCAAAATAAGTTGAGTTTGTTCTGTGAATTTTTTTTTCAGTGCTTGGTCATTTAACCAGATTTGAAGTTATTTCAGTTTATTAATTAGACGAAAAAACAAGTTGGCATTAGAATATCCCACACATCACATATATATTACCCAAGGATCTATCTCACTATGGGTGTGGGATATTCTAATAGTTGGGTCAAGTGTAACTATAAATATTGTGTTGTGTAACATACATTCCTTGGTGCAGGGGATAGGTATCTAAAACCAATGGTAGCATGGGAACCAGAAGTGACATTCATGAGAAGGGAAACTGGAGATGAATGCTTAATATTAGCAAGCGACGGGCTTTGGGATGTGCTTTCAAGTCAGCTAGCATGTGAAATAGCTAGGTTCTGTCTCCGCGAAGAAGCTTCCTCGAGCCTAGACTTGAACAGAATGGCTCAAGATGACGATAGTGGTGGAGAAGAGAATCCTTCAAGGAGTGTATTAGCTGCAACGTTGCTTACGCGGTTGGCTTTGGGTCGACAAAGCAGTGACAATATAAGTGTGATTGTCATTGATCTCAAGAATAGTTCTTGACAAAACGGGTTTTTAGGTGGTGGTTGTGATTAAAACGTTAAAGCCGAGAGAGAATAAGATGTGGATATAGCGATGAGCCTTGATTAGCTTTAGGGTTTAGCGCTTTGTCTCTTTGTTTTTGTTATGATTGGGGTTATACTTGCCAATACATTAACAACGGCCAATGTGAAAAGAAAAATGAGGAGTTCGGACATGGGCTCGAAAAGTTTATTTGGTTATTTTGGACAGGATGGGCTACAAGGTTGATTTGGTAGTTTGAGTAATAAAATGAGAGTTACACTAAATATTTGTTCTCTAATTGTGTGTGTTGATGTGTTTATGCGACCACATTTTTAAGTATGTAACGTATGTATTAAACATATAAACTAAAGATGTAGTACTTGGTCCAACCAACAATGTATAGGCTTTTGGACCAAATTGTCTTTAAGCTTTTACAAAGAATAAATACATATACAAAAGAAAGAGATGGAGAACAATTTTGAAAGGAAAAAAAAAAAGTAACACTCTTAGTTCAATGAAACAATTCAAACGAACTTAAAACGAGTATCACCGGAGTTTTGGGGTCCTAAAACGCAGTTCAAGAATCAAGAACTGTCTTTGAAGTTAAAAAGCATAAAGAGATGAAGAATGTTCCTATGAACAATTCCCAAATCTCTTTTTGTTCTTTTTTCTTTTTTCTTCGGTCATTATCAATCGTTTGTCTCAGTGTTTGTGTCTCACTTTTCTTTGAATCATAATTGTATTTGTGGGCCTTTTAGCTTCTCCCTACGTCTTGTTTAGTTTCCAAGATTGGTCCACTAAAAGAAGTGAGAATCAAGAATCTTCTTCTTTTTTTGTATTTTTGTTTAATAATTTACTTAAAAACAGGAGTAAAGGAGATGATAAATTTTGAACTACCAAATCAGTCTTTTTGTCCCAAATTGTTGATGATGTTGAAGATTTGGGGATTTTTGCTTTACCCTCTAATTTTGTATTATTATAAATGGTCTAGGATGCTGAATTTAGTAAGTGATTTTCTTGAATAAGTCGATTCTGAAATTAACAACTAAAGTGATAGATTTGTCAAAAAGAGAAGAAATCTAACTAATCACTTATGTGGTTTTAATTAGCTACCTAACATAATATGGTTAAACTAACTCACATTCATGCTAAAGGTGTAAAATCTAAGATCAAAGTCTAAATATTATTTCTGAGTAGATTTATATATCTCAGCTGCTATGGACTTTTAGTACATACCTCTTAACAAGTGATTCTAGATTAAAAGAAAAAAGTAGTAAATACTCTCTAAATTTTGTTATTTTTTAAAAAAATTGTATTTTGATATTTTCTGTTTCACAAAAGAATACTATAAACATTTCAACTTCCAAGTGACCATAATTCTTATTAAACAAGTCATCCAAAGACATTCTATAGAGTTATTTAACTTGTAGGTATATATCAAAGGTGATTAACAAAACCATTACTCAAGGATTCCAATTCTATATGTCAATAATCATGTAGTAAGGCTTCACGTCAAATCACACTAAAAGCTTGGAAATCTACACATACATACATAATCAGTAATCCATAAATCAGTCTTCCGAGCTACATTTACTTACATTTTATGCTAAATACGTATTACGTATAATGGATCTAGAGTATACGAAAAGAAAAACTCTAAAAATTTCACTAATCACGTCAAAAAATTTGAACAAAGTCCATGCAATCTAAATTATCTCCAAAACCATATTTGTAGTGTATATGACTCACTACATTCCACCAAATTTTGTATCCACATTAAAAATAGGGCAATTATCATATAATTTTTTTCCCAAAAACACTATTAGTTTTATTTTTCAACATTACTATGAAAATATTTTTTTTTCCAAAAATATCACAAAACTAAAACTAATTTAACATTTAAAACTAAATCCTAAATCCTAAATATTAAACCCTACCCTTAAAAATTACATCCTAAATTTAAAATCGTTAATTTAAACCTAAAACAAATGAAAATTACACCTTTTAAATCAATTTTTATGTTTGTAGTATTTTAGAAAAAAAAAATTGTAGTATTAAAAAAAAGAAGCTAATTAATAGCGATATTTTTGTTCCTCAACAATATAATTTTTCTGAATTAAGATTAGATTTTCTGAATTATTATACGTCATCCACTGACCTACATAACATAAACATAAGTGATTATTATACTTCCTCCGATTACAGAACATACTAAGTGATAATAACATACTAAATTACTGTTGATACAAAAAATACAGTAGAATATAATATATACTTTTGCTACAGAGTGTCAACTGTCAAACTTTAATTATAGTCTTTGCGTGATGTAATAAAAATATCATTAAATGTGTTGAAAAAGTCATTAACTACTGTGTGTGACCACAAATCACAATTTTTAGTAACAACAGCTCATCTTCTTCAAAGTTTTGTATTCACCAAAAAAAAAAAAAAAAACATTTTTAATTTATTTTCTAATGCCGTCGCGAACACTCCCGTCGCCGGCACCGGTAAATTCACCGTTCTCTTCCTCCGTTACACCTCACCATGAAAGAAGCACCACCACACGCATCATCATCATCTCTCCACTTACAGTCGTTGGTTTCTCTTTCTTCGTAACCCTCTCCCTCTGTTTCTGCAAATTCAACCGTAAAAAACGCCGATCTCCCGCCGCCGTGACCTCTTCCTCTTCTCCGCCGCAGAAACCTCCGTTACAAGAGTTCTCTTACTCGTCTCTCCGTAAAGCCACCGACTTTTTCTCACCGGAGAATCGGCTAGGTCAAGGCGGGTTCGGCTCTGTTTTCCGTGGAACTCTGTCTCCGTCCTCCGGTGGTAATGTAGCCGTTAAAGTGATGGACTCAGGTTCACTCCAAGGAGAAAGAGAGTTTCAGAACGAGCTTTTCTTCTCCGGTAAGATTGATTCACCTCATGTAGTTTCCGTTATTGGCTTCTCCAAAGATCGAAGACGACGCCGTTTGATTCTTGTCTACGAGCTTATGGACAATGGGAATCTCCAAGATGCTCTTCTTCATCGTAGATCACCTGAACTTATGGTATGGAAACAAAGGTTTCTTGTTGCGGTTGATATAGCTAAAGGGCTTGAACATTTACATGGTTTGTGTCCTGCTGTGATTCATGGTGATTTAAAACCTAGTAATGTGTTGTTGGATCGTTTCTTCTCTGCTAAGATCTCTGATTTTGGTTTAGCTAGGTTGAAATCAGAACAAGTTGAAGTTGTAGTTGCATCTGAGAGTGATGATGTTAAGTTAGAAGTAGAGGACTGTGGATCTGTAGTTGAGGAAGTTGAGAGTGTGGTTACTAATAATACTGGCTATGATGAATCTAACTTTGGATTTACTGATCAGTCTCCGGTTAGTGTTTATAAGGTTCCGCTTTCATCTCCTGAGACAGGACATGTACCTATGACTTCGCCTGAGACGGCTGTTTCTGTTTCGCCGGAGATGGTGGAGAAAGTTGTTGGCTTGGAGGTTGGTAATGTGGGGAAGAGTAAAGATTGGTGGTGGAAGCAAGAAGGGAATGTTGGAAGAGGGAAAGGGAAGGATTATGTGATGCAATGGATTGGTTCTGAGGTGAAGAAAGAGAGACCGAGTAGTGATTGGATTGCTGAGAGGGCGGAAGCAGCTAAAAAGATTGAGAAGAAGAAGAGTAGCAAGAGATTAGAATGGTGGCTTTCGTTGGATGAAGAGAAGGAGAAGGAGAAGAAGAAGAAGAAGCGGATGGTGAGAGAGTGGTGGAAGGACGAGTATCGGAAAGAACTAGCTAAGAAAATGAAGAAGAAGAAGAAGAAGAAAACTTTGGAATCTGAGTTTTATAGTGATGATATGAGTGGAAGTGTGGATCAAAGGCGGCATGGGGATGAAGAGTTGTATAGGAAGAAAAGAAGAGGTAGTAGTAGTAGCATAGGAAGTAGCATAGACTGGTGGTTAGATGGGCTTAGTGGTGAACAATGGAGAGCGCGGCGCAGAAACAGTCAAGATTCAGTTAAGAGCTGTGGAGTCAGTAGCACGCCGAGCATGAGAGGAACTATGTGCTACGTTGCCCCTGAGTGTTGCGGTAATAACGTAGATGATGTGTCTGAAAAATGTGATGTGTATAGCTACGGAGTTTTGCTGTTAGTCCTGGTTTCAGGGCGGCGTCCGCTGGAAGTAACTGGACCAGCGTCTGAGATCATGCAGCGTGCGAATCTCATGTCGTGGGCGAGGAAGCTGGCGAGAAGAGGGAGACTTGGTGATCTAGTAGACATAAAGTTGCAGTCTTTAGACCAAGAACAAGCGATTCTGTGCATTAAGGTGGCTCTGCAGTGTCTGCAAAGATCCCCGGTTTCACGACCTTCCATGAAAGAGGTTTTAGAGATGCTTACAGGAGCGATGAGCCCGCCTGAGTTGCCAACAGAGTTCTCACCATCACCGCAGTCTCGAATCCCGTTCAAGACACGAAGGAAGCAGAATAGATAGAGAAGTGTTTTTTTCATGTGGTAGATGTGTTTGCTGGATGGTTTAGAGCACTTGTCCTACAACACTGTCTTTGATACTAGTGATGTTTAGTTTTCGAGCAACTTGATTAGTTCGCACAAACGCTGTTTTTAGCTTGGGAAATCTAATTATAACTAATTTATGTAGTCTATGATCTCTCTCATAGATTTATGCGGAATTTGTATAATTGTACTAAGCCATATGCAAATGCAGTGCAGGCATCTTGAGATTAATCTGATATTTCGGTGATTAACCTTGCAAATCTAAAAAAATACATGATCCTTGTGATTGGGCCTAACAGAAAATTTTAGTGGCTTTATACAGTCTTGTTAATTGGGCTAGCCCTAACTGGAATGTCAATATAAATTTGGTTTATTGGGCTTTGTTAAAGAGTATTATAATTTCTATTGACTCCAAAGTTCAACAGAACTTACATTTGGACTGATTACATTATAGTTATAACAAAGAGAAATAGAGATGAAAAAAATGAATAGTGAAATTTTTACACAAAAAAATTATCAAACTTTTAGTGAACAATTTGATAATATCTCAACACAAACACTTCTAGAGTCCTTAACTACTATACTATTATGGGAAACTTTTACACATAACGTTTTTAAGGCTGCATGACAACAATATCTTGCTCGTTTAGTTTTAGCTTTGGGATCTATAACTTCAAAAACGAATATATGAAAATGATAGGAGAGTGAAAGCTAATATAAACGAAGAAATTGATTTATATAATTCGAATATCGGCTGTAATTTTAAAAATAAAACTACATAACTAATTGAATATTTTGTAATGAAAAAAATGTAACAAGTATATAATAGTGTTGTATCAATAGTTAAATATATGGAATCTTAATATAGAAGAACATATATCATATTTGATTATATTTTTTATTGAAGAAGAGCTGATCAGTGATATATAAATATATGTTGAAGAAGAAGAGAGTGTCATCACCGCGTGCGTACCCTAACGAATGTGAATATTAAAAAAACTCTATATCTGATACGTCTAACCAACGTATCTTCTTCTCAATTAAATAATACGTATTACCAAGAAAAATGTTTTTTAATTTATTTAATAATTATGTTGCGCTCAAGACACTGCAATAATTTTTATTCAGCTTTACAACAAAGCCCTGAGCTGTTCTTGTAAAAGAGAGGACTAATAAGATCAAACCCCAGATCACAAAATCCGCAGAGGATCAGATCTCGCTGTCTCATCAAGATAAGCAGAATCTTCTAAAGGAATTTATATACTTTATTTTAACAAGACCAGACAACAGCTTTTTAGATGGACGATTGTCGGGAGAAGAGAAGAAGAAGGTGTCCGAAGCTGACATGTAGTACAGATCATAACAACAACAACATGGAGAAGATGATGCATAGAGAAACTGAGAGACTAAGGAGACAAGAAATGGCTACCCTTTATGCTTCTCTTCGTTCTCTTCTCCCTCTTCACTTCATCAAGGTCTCATCACTATCCCCAAACTCTCCTTTAAAGAAAACCCTAATCTTGATTTCGATTCTTTAAGACAACTTTAGATCTACTTAATCTTTGTCCTTTGATGTGTGTTCTAGCTTGTTAAAAGGAGATCATAGCAAGTGTTTTGACTTTGTGTTGTACATTACTTACTTAACTCTAGTGTTTCTCTTGAAAAGATTCCTAATTAGATCTGTCTATATAATATACGACTCTTCTTGGTTTGTTAATTTTGTTATCTTGGTGGGATCTTTTATACACTTTCTAGGGTAAACGTTCGACGTCAGATCAAGTCAACGAGGCGGTGAACTACATAAAGTATCTACAGAGGAAGACCAAGGAGCTGAGTTTGAGGAGAGATGAGCTTATGTTACTGTCGAGAGGAAACTTCTTGGGCTGTAGTAGTAATGATGATTCTAAAGAGGGGATGGAGATGATAAGTAGGAAGAATCATGTGGTGGTTCGTCAGTGTTTAGTGGGTGTAGAAATCGTGTTTAGTAGTCGCCGCTGCAGTGGCCAACCGCGGTTTTCAAGTGTTCTTCAAGTGCTTAGTGAAAATGGTCTCTGTCTTCTAAACTCCATCTCTTCTATTGTTGATGATAGGCTGATCTACACCATACAGGCCGAGGTAAACCTATACTTTTCATTAATTTCTTCTAAAGCATTATAGTAATCGTGAAAATATCAAACAGTACATATCGAAAGTTGAATCCACCAAATATTTGAAAATAAGAAATGATTACTAGCTACTATATAACCCTCATGCATTTAAAGATATATATATCACCTAAGGGTATGTATAATGAAATTTGAATACCATATTATCTCTAGAGGTTAGAGTGTTAATTTCAAGGTATTTCCATACCAAATATTGGCACGGAATATCTAATTATAATAGAATGATCAAATCTTTATGTTGTTTGGTTTTGTCTTCGCCTTATCTTTTAAATGATCGTATATATATATTCGATTCTGTACATAATTAACAAGTTTGGTAGGTTTGAGAGTAAATATATACTGAAAATATCTTTTGTTTGGCAGGTCAACGATATGGCTTTGATCGACTTAGTAGCACTTGAAAACAGATTAGTCAGAATGTAGTAATTAATGGTTGTGAGTTTTTTCTAACTTGTCAAACAAACGACATGTATAGTGTTGTTGTGAATGGTTGTGGTGTACGTGTTAACGCATCTTAATCTTATGTATGTATTTTAAGTATTTCTAGTTGATTATTGATTGAAAATTTATTTTCATAAGCTGAGTTAGTACTTTTTAATATATATGCTATCCTATTTATTTAATAAGTTTCAAAATTAACCCACAAAAAAAAAAAAATCGTTGATGGTGTCGAGAGGCCACATACCGAAAGGTTAAATAATGGTGTTGTTCGACGTTGATAGCTTCAGAAAAGAAAAAAAAAGTTGGTAGCGTTATGCTGATTTTTGGTATATGAAAAACCAACGAATTTTTTTTGATAATACCAATATATATACATGTAAGGGTATATTAAACTAGCTCATTGAGCTGCACATACATAAATGGATTCTTTTTTTTTTGATACATATTTTTGTAGCTTCAATCTGCTTTACATTTTCATTTTATAGAATAAAAGTACGACTTTTTCATTGATGTGGAACAGCTAAGTATTTTCTAGCTTTTTAAAAGTCAATATATTGGGTATTATTAAACTGACATGTTTTCTAAAAACTATAGCATAATGAGTTTGTACCAGTAACGCAAGTGAAGGTTTGTTGAGATTCCAATATAATAGTAGAATATATACATGTGCGATCTTTGTTATATATATATAGGTTACTTGTTTTGGTATCACAAAACTAAAATATTTATAAATGAAATTTGTGGAAGACATATACAACGATATATGTTCATGATGATGAACTTTTACCAAATCAAACTAACTAAAATAGGCACAAAAAAATGTAATAAATATTTTTGTCAGATGAGATATGATTAATAATTTCACAACAAATGTAGTTCAGTGAATTATTATCAAAAGAAAGCTACAAACTATGGGTTTAAAGACCAAAAGGTTTCACTATATATGGTTGTAAACTGAACTTGTAATAAAAATAGATTATTATCTTCAAAGCAACCAAAATCAAAACAAAAGCTAATATTATTAGGAGATCTCGAAGATACGAGATCGAGTTAAAAAGACAAATGATATTTGTGTATATTTTCAACTGAAAAAAGAGAATAAAAGTCAACAAATTTTCAATTTTTTTTTTATTTCTCAATTCCTAAACAAATTCCGTTCACTTTTTCATCTAGTCCGTCTGAATGATTTTCACTATTTCGTTGAATTAAGAGATCTCGTATCTCCGAGATCGAGTTAAAAGGACAACTGGTATTTGTGTATATCTTCCTATTGTTATATAGGAGACATCTCATATTACAAAGAAGAAGTTCATTGATTGATGATATTCTTGTGGATCGTGACTTTATGGAATGACCCTTGATGGGTTCGTATCTCCGAGATATCAAATATGTGTTTTCCCAATACTCGAGAAAGCTCTCATTATCATATCTTTTGTTCGCTTCTCAAACTACTAAAAGTGATATTTGCTAGGATCATGAAAATCAAAAGAGGTTCACTCGAGAAAATATCACAAAAACGAATCACAAGTCACAGCAATTGTTTAAGTTTCTCCATAATATTTAATCCATCTTCCTTGACGGCAGCTCTCCTATTTATCTTGACAAGAAAAACATTGTGAGATTATCAAAAAGTGTTTTGCTTACTTAAAAAAGAAAACAAAGAATAAAACGTTCGTGACTTGAGGTTTTCTAATGAATAATTTACCATACAAAAAATAAAAATGTGACATCAAAGCACATGCTCGAAATAATTTGAGAGACAGTGGGATCCATGAGGAACCAATGAGTCTGGGATATTTTTGGGACACAAATGAAACAGCTGGTTTCCATCAATCTATTTGAAATGAGGATCTTTCTTGTCTCTCCTCTCCCACCTTGTTCCGAAATTGCCTGAGCTGTCTAATATCTCTTTTTAACTATGTCCATCCCCACTTCACTTATCCTATCCATTTAGCATATCCCTCCCCAATTATTATATATGTCGTCCTTGACGGCAGGTTTTACTATTTTGATCGAATAATATAACTATTGTTAGATGATTTTGTGTGAGACAAGTAGAAAAATGCCATAACTAGATAGTAGAAACCTTATAATTTATTTCTTGGTCGACCAAATGAATAAGAGTGAAGTGATAATCTTTTGGCGACTTTGTCCTCATTTATTCAACTCTTATATGAGTCATGTACGTAGTTTTCGTATTACATGTTATTGTTTCATTGTGCTATCTGGCAAAAGAAACAAAAGTTATAAATACGTTATAAAACTTGCAAAACCGTGAGTTGAAATCCTAACTAGACATATATCTCTTCCTATTTCATGATGCAAAAGTGTTAAAAAATGTCCACGAATAAGATATATCTTAATTATTTAGAATTTTAAAAATTAAACAGCTAACGAAAATAAGTCTGATTTGTTTATATAAAACAGGTATACAATGTTTTCATAATATAATTTACAGTTTTCAAATACTGACAAAAAACAAATCATCGAGTTCGGAAGAGAGGACTATATATTCCCAAGAGGGGTAGTTTAATCCTTTCGGACTTGTGGAAATTAAGTGAGGTGTTGTTAATCCAAGTTCTATGATGCAAAAGTGTTCTAATCTATGATAAATGCCTAAATAAATTTTAAAAAAGAAAGATAAATGCCTAAATAAAATTGCTTAATCGATACTTGTACGTACTCTTGCTAATTATTATTTGGTTTGCCATGAATTAAATGAGTTGATTTATTCTTCCTATACATTATTATATATGTCCTTATTATTTTTTTGCCATGAATTAAATAGTGGATGCGAATGTATAATGCCATATTATGTACTAGTACTACCGTCAAATATCAAATCAAAGTTTCTTTAGTAATGTAGATTTTATTCCTAGCTAGGTGGCAATGTCGTACGAACTTAAAACTCACAAGAGATCCACTAATGTTGAATGGCAGCTGCTCCACTATACCAGCACTAGAGAAGCTACCATTCAACATCAGAGAAGCTACCATTCAACATAAGATATAATAACTAGTTCATGCATATATCAGAGTCCAGAGAAGCCTTTATAGTCTTTTCCTATATCATCCGTTCCCGGATACTTCAATGTTTCCTTATCGATTTGATGACATATTCAAAAATGTCTTAAGAAATCAGACGCATGCATCAATATGTTTTTGTTTTGTTGATGCACTCCAATAGTTCCTTTTAGTCAAAGAACTCTCCACACTCATATATAAAGAAGCATGAACCAAAGTTAAGAATTTGCTATAGTCAATCTAACCAAACAGATCATCATTACACAAAAATATTCACTCCAACTAGCTAGATCAGAAGGACCAAAAAGAACACAGCCTTAGCTTAGGGACACTAGAATAAAGAGATTAGGACAAAAATAAACATCATTCAGTGAGCAGACTCTTCTGACAAATGTTAGTGCCTGGTCGTGGGAAGTACTAATTCCTCAATTAGCTTCTGCTGCAACCAAGCTAAGTCGCAGCAACCAAAGCTATTTACCTGTGAATATATGTCATATATATAGATATATATATACATAAACATAGTTATTCACGAAACACATAAGCTGTATATATGTAACGTACCTCGACTTGAATAGTGTACATAAGCCTTTCATTGACTCGTGCGGTTAAAGAGCTAATGACTTCAAGTCCTTGCTCGTGAAGAACTTCAAGAACCCTTGAGAGCGGGAGACCTGATGCTGAGCTGCTCACCACTACCTCGAATCCACTCACGCATGGTTGCACCATGACACTAGCTGGTTCCGATCTACTTGACCCAGATCCGGATCTAGTTTGACTAGTATGGTCACTAATCTCTCTCTTTAGCTCATCTCTTCTTGCCGAGAGTTCTTGTATCCTTGTTTGCGTGTCCTTGATGAAAGCTACTGCTCCGTTCACATGATCTGACATCGCTCTCTTTCCCTGCCAAGAAAGAGCCTGAGAAAACTAAAACCCTAGAGAGAACAAAAATATCCCATCAAAAGGGTTCTTGATAAGGAGATTGAGACTTCTTTGAGTAAAATATATGAACCTTGATGTACTTCAGAGGTAGATGACTACGAAGAGAGGCGAAAAGGATGGCCATTTCTTGTCTTCTTTGTCGCTCGATGTTGCGGTGGAGAAGCTTCTTCTCCTTCTTCGTTTCATCTCCAACGTGAGGTATATGACTGATCTGGTGCCTTGTTTTCTTAGGATTATTACAAGGATCCATGGGTTGAGCTGATTTAGCTATGGCAGATCTCAGCAGTAACAGTGTTTAATTTTCTCTTGTTTTTATAATGAAACTTGTTAGGTCTTATAGGAGAGACTTCCCTTAAATAATTGGATCTGTATTCTTCTTTAATCATGTTTCCTTGAAGAAAGAAAAAAACAAAGAAGACTTACAAAAATAATGCAGCCTCGGGAGGTGTTCTCTTCTTTAATTAGTCAAATATTTTTGGTTTGCTGTAATAGTTCCATTAGTTCTTACACCGTTACACGTGACAAAACTTTATGCTTTGTATGTATCATTGCAAACTAGCCAGTGTCAATTTTTTTTTTTTTTTTTTTTTTTTTGCTTTTTCTTAACACAATTTATTTCTAGAAGAGATATTGATATGTCTATGAAATATGTATTGCATATTATTTTGATATTTGGGCAGACAACGGATAGTAAGAATCCACGTATATGAATCCAACCAAATAGTTATAGTTTGGATCTGTATATCCTGAAAATCATAGATATTTGGACTTGTTCTATACCCAACCACATGTTGCAACAGATATATTACATATTAATGATATATAAAATCGTCGAATAAATCAATTTACATTCTAGTTAATTACATGATAGATACACATTATACTGAATTTTTTTTAATGCATGAGCTATATGATTTATATATCGTGTATATTTATGTTTCGTTCTAATTCTAATATTGTATGTGAGTTGAAGATGACTAATGGTGCATTTTGTTTTTAATGATCACGGTGAAAAATTTGTTATGAATGAATGTTTTATGCTCTCCATCAAAAGATGACTACTTGATCAAAAGATGTGGATTTGTGTATTGTGATAATGGATGAACAGACAGCTAATTAGCAGATAAAGAGGTTGCTTAAATTAGAAAGTTTGTCGTTGAATTATGAGTAATCTTGTTGACAAAAAAAACACAAAATCACAACAATCATAAACAAAATCACAAGAAAAGAATTATGTGTGGTTTCTATTAGTTTTGGCCCAATCAAAATTTATGGTGGCAACAAAGGAGCCATGCTCCGGAACGTGTTTCACACCCAACATGTAAACATGTACTGTGACCATGTTTATAGTATCGATGAACAATATGTTTGCCGAGCTTTCGAACGCAGTCTAAGCATTTATATATGTGGTATCCATATTGTAATCGTATAGACATTAGATTTACAACTTTCGAGTTTATTATAATGTAATGCTATTGTATATATTTGTACACAAATTTGGTTATAAATTTAATTAATTTGCTGGCAGTAGTATGACTAAATTATATTTAGTTAAAATTATTATAAAGTAAACAGTAAAACTGCCGTCAAGGAAGACAAATTTTATAATAAAGATAATTAAACTATAAGTAGAAGGTTGAGTGATATGGACTGGAGTCAGTGGACCTTACTGGTTAATACTTAATAAGTAACCATAGAGGTATTTAAGTAGTAAAATAGATTGTTTAGGTAAATGATAACTGTTAGCAAAAAGGTGTTGCTAAAAAGTGGGTAAAAAACTAAAAATATAACACAAATTATGTATCAATTCAATGTACATTTTAAAAACTATGTATGTAGTTTTGTAGATAGTTCATATTAATATCAACATGTAAATAACAATATGTAATTTTATGATGATAGATTACACTTTATGAAACCGTAAATAATGTGAAAAAATAGTTGAGTACAGAACAAATCATGTTTTATGTAATACTTACATAGCATAGATAAGATAATTTGGATCACATATACAATATCGCATGATTGCGTTTATATATACATTTTTCAGTTGAATACTTTTCTTAGACTAAAAATTCCTATTTAAAGACATCTTTAATTATTTAGCAAATAGAGATACGGTTGATTGAGTGGTTGAGATCTCCCTAATATACTTTTGATTTAATTATTGTTAGTTAATGGTTCAGTACAGAGAGATGCTGTCCAACGAATTCATGATCTTCAAATCGGATTATGTTCCAATAAAGATAGCCTAATTAGATAAATACTTAGTTGGTGATGCGTGATTAAATTATTTTCTGACCAGTATCTCAAAACCAAATAAACAAGAAAAAAAAAACATAAATTCCAAAAGCCCCTTTACCCAAAAAGACCGCATATTTTTTTCCATTTACAAATTCTAACTTAATTCAAGTGGATGACAAAACTAAGAAACGAAGATCTGTTTACGCCGGATCCCAATTTGAACACATATTCTGAATTTCTGATATTTATTTATACGAAAAAGTTTGGTAAAACTAGTATTTGTTTAATTGTTCACACACATATCCTGATATTTAAAGTTTAATTAGGAAGTACGAATTCACATAAAGGAAGTCTAATTATCGAGGTCACGATTTAAGACAGCTTACTTAATCATACATAGTGGAAGAAAACCAAATTTCTAACTATTTTTATTACAAAGTTGTAATCTTAGTTTTACTTATGTCTGAGTCTAGCTTTAGAAAAGTTGACCTAAAGTTAAATGTGGGAGTGTGAGGTTTGGCGGGCCGCCATATAATTATTGATGATGCTGATTAGTTGGCATACATATCATAATCCGCATGTACTACCAAAGAAGACCCGCTTGTACTTTGGTCAGCTTGCGAATGTATTTGGTGGTGTACGATTTTACCAAATATATATTCTCTTAAGAATCCAATCCACTAGTCGTATATTATATAGTCAACGGTTTGACTTTAAAAGAAGAGCTTCTGTTAGAAACAAAATAAAAAAAAAAAAAAAAAAAAAAAGAAGAAGAAGAGCTTCTAATATAATTGTGTAGCTATGAGTTTTTTCCTGTGAAAGTTTGTCTTTATATTTATATGGTTAACTAAGTTAGGTAAACTATTTTAAACGAGTTGGAGGACTATATGATGTAATTTAGGCACTTGATTTTCAAAAAGCGAACCTTGGTGTATGAACGGTGAGCAAATTGATGAGATGATGGAACTGACACTTCATGGAGTTATGGTTAGATCCATGACATTGACACATTCCAATGAATGTATAAAAGACTACGTACATGCACACAAACATGCAATGGAGATATATACGATCATCAAGGCATGACTCAAAACAAAACTATAGTCCAAGAGATTTAAAAAAACTTTTTATAACTTGTTTTAGTCTTTTTCAACTCTAAAATTTCGAATATTTGCGATCCTCCAAATTTGGAAACATGTCAAGATGTATATCATAAACAAGCTAGACTTTTTTGATGCTTGATCCAAGTTGGACCGTCTGTTGAACGATCGTTGATCATTCGCGGATGGGAACCATCTTTGTGGAACTACTCAAATTTATTACGTGAATTCAAGATGAAGTGTTACTAAAAGTGTAGGAGGAGTTGGTAAACTATTAATCTTTTAGGAGTCCATCTTAATCTTTCACAAGTTTCAAATTATGTATTAAGTTTTCAGATTGGTTAGCAGAATTGGACAACCTAGTTACAGAGTAGACCAACCCATAATTAGAGGCCCGTAATTTCTCAGGCCCAAAATAGATAAAATAAATATTATGTGAACCAATCGACATAGCTGCTACACTATTTTACACGGTTGACCCAAAAATTTGACACTACGCTACAAAAACCCTTCGCCTACATTGTTATTGTTGGGGACATCCTAATATTTTCTACTGTTCTGATTAACATTTGTACTGTTACCATAAATATTCTTGATATGTTAATCTTTTCTAAACAGCACTGTGGTGGAATTTTCGATTAATAAAAAATAAATAAATAACGTTTTATGTATATATGTAGTATAGGAATCTGAGTTAGTCCAAAATATATATTTTAAACCACAACCTGCAAACTTATAAATTTAGTCAAGTCTTTTTTGTGATTATAAACGGATGAACTTCAAATTCGACAGACAATAGCAAGGACTTTATACTTTGTTTGCTGTATATATCATCTACATGCGTCACCTACATTCAATTTCGTACTGGTGAGCCTAAGTCTACGCTAATGACCTAAACTTTCAAAGATGAAAAACAAACTGGGATTTATTGAAGATACAATTACTACTAAAATGGCGTCGTTGTGTTATATAGCTATATGAGGAGCCACACCATTTTTTCTTTTTTGGTAGGGCTAGATATGGAGCACCATGACTCTCTCATTCTTAGTACACCTTTTCTAGCCACCGCAAGTGCTATATTTAATGTGAAGAAATGCAAAATTGACTTTCATATGGAAAATCAAGTCTTGAAGTTTAATATGGCTAACACGACTTTAAAAAGATGTACCATAGAGTTAGAGTGACATGCATTTCAAGAAGATAATATTTATGATGAGCATGGAGAAATGTTGTGAGAAAAGTGATGTGAAAGAAGCCTCAATTAAAACTCTAATAATAAAAGACTAATGGAGAAGGGAAAGGTAAAAAGTACAAGAGTATGTATATATCAAGGAACATCTTCATATCATTTTGTTACAACATGTGTTGGAGATACAGTCTAGTATGATAGTGAAGTGTAAGGTTTTGTGCTCATGCCGAAGAGTGATTCAAAGTACCACTTGTATTTTCTTGTACCATTTTTTTCTGTAAATTACTGAATCCCAAAATGCCTATGATAATTTTCATCCCATACGCGCGAGGCAAAGCAAAGTATAGCTATTAATGTTATCACATTATAAGCATGCATATAATATACTCATGATTAAATATTCTCCATAAAGCAGCCATATAGATTTTCTCCCCTCACTTTTTCTTCTCTTTTTTTGATGCACTTTGTTACTTTTCTAAGATGCCGATTACAATACATGTCTAAGAATAATAAGACTAAAACCCAAAGTAATAATGTTGTTTTGGTATCAATCAACTATCTAGTATCGCACCAGCTATCTGTAGACCAAAAAAAAAAAAGAGAAAAGTATCATCAGCTATCGAGGTTTGAGAAGATAGGATAGAACTAATTAGAAAGTGATGCCTCTCTATAAATAGTTGTGGAAACAAAGACACATTATTTCTATAAATGTGAGAACAAGAAAAGCTAATTTTTACCTCCATTGATGAGGCATGAGCATGTGTATGTGCCCTTTTAGGGCAACAATAAATTAATTTCATGCATATAACAAATTAAAAATGTTCATGACAAGAAAGTGTGAGAGAGAGAGAGTGTGTTTGTGTATGGTCTGTTGATTAGGTGAGCAGCAGCCGACCTAGAGAGAGAGAAAAGGTTATATAGGCAGAGAGTGAGAGAGAGAGAGAGAGACTAGGGTTTTAAAATTTTTAAATTTTGGAGATATATAGCAAAGAGAGAGAGAGAGAGATGAGTTTGTAATGGTTTGGTGATCGTGCCCATCATTTTTTTTCACTTGTCTTTCTGTGTTTTTAACGGTTTATGAAATTTAAGACATCCTACTTCTAACTTTTTTCATCCGTTACATTTCCTCTCAAGGCATTATTATATGCAAGTTATAAAAAAAATATTGATAAGCTTACATGTATTACAAAACATTATAACAATTTGGGATCTATATGTATGATACAAAATTTATTCTCAATAATTTATTTATGAAACATTTTAGTGTCTCATTAAATTACCAAATGACACAATATTGAGTGTTTGTTTGATTTTTTTTTAAAATTGAATTAAACAGTTTGTAGTTGTACATTATTGAGTAAGTTGAACTAAGCTTGCTTACTTTGCTTTTGGTAAGTGGGGTTGAGCTGGACAACACAATATAAGGTAAAAAGAATACATGTTTTAACTACTTCTAGTAAAAAATATATTGAATACCTCAAGTATTTCTAGTAATGCTATAAGCCTATATTGTACTAGAATTTGATATTAAACAATTAAGTTATTAAAAATAAAAAACAAAAGAGCTCGGAAAAGGCAAAACTGGCATGAGAGTCAATGGAGCAGAAGCATGGAACCGATGTGTCCACATCTCTTCCCTCTCTCCCTTTTATCGCACAAAACACACACTCTTAGTCCCTTTTTTCCTTGGCTATTTATTTTTTTATTTTTTTTCTAATTTTTGACTTAAAAGTTAAAACAAACAAATTATCCAAAATTTTAACAAAAATTAAGAAACTATTGAGAAAATTGCATGAACAGAACAGTAAAAATGTAAAAACGAAAAACAATAATAAGAGCAAAGAAATGAATAATTGTTACGCCGCGTTTGCAGTCTTAAGGACAAATGGACAATGATGGGAGTCTCTTGCCTTTTTCTAGTTGTCAAAATCAGACATCAACGTTAAATATATATGTGTATGTGTAAGTGTATATTATTAGCTCTAAACTGATGCGCTTTATTCATTTGCCAGGTTCCACAGGCATCTCTTTCTTTATTCAAATTACATTTTCTTTTGTTGGTTAATGACTGTAAATCACCATACAATATTCAAATTCTTGTAAAACCTATGCATGTGTATGGAAACTAGGGTTATCATTTGCATTTTGGTATTTTGTATAAATAACTTCGATATAAGAAAAAAAATACACTACATTCTATATACAAAGAATATTATATGGTGTGGACATTCTACATTCAACACTCACAATAGAAATATTAGTATAATTTTTTATTTTTTTTATTAGTATAAAATATTCTTTGCATATGGAATGTAGAAAAAACATTAGATGGTGGTAGATGCAATAATTTGTAAAAATATTATTTATTGTCAATTTTGACTAACAAGAAAAATCCAGATTTTTGACCAAAAAAAGAAAAATCCGTATTTATGTAATAAAAAATTGAGAATGTTCAAACAAATTTTTTTCATAAATTTCATTCTTTAAAAACAAAACGTATTTAATTAGGACCAATACCAATCCAGCTTCTTCTTTTCTTAATAACTATGAAGTGTTGGACTCAAACTCATACATCTTCTTACACAAAGACTAACCTTTATAATTTATTAACCTCTTTGATTACCAAAGAGAGTACCTTTTCAATCGAATGTCCGTTTTAACTTAAATTTCCAAAACATAAGTCCAGATATTAAAAAGAAAAAGGATAATGTGTTACATAAATTCCTTTATATTCTTATGTTTTTGTGATCTAATCACGTAAATACAAAACATTATTTGAAAGCGCTAATGAAAAACCTTTGTGCTAATTAAATACCGTATTTATAATTTTTGACAAAACTACTAAATATATGAGAATGAATTAGCAATTCTTTACCTTTTAATCAGAATGTATGAAGTTCTTAGCAATTCTTTACCTATCAATCATAATATAATGTATGATGTTCTATTTGTTATCCCTAATTTTTTTTGTTCTTCTAACTATTTCACAGTTCTTTCTTTGCTAATCCGATTGTTTAGCTTTTGCAACCAGAAAAAAAAATATTCACAATTACATTTACAACGAAAGCCACTGCCACCTAAAGAGGCTTAAATTAGTATACTTAATAAAACTTGGAAATATTTTCTGTATTCAGATTACTTCTTCTATACTTGTAAAGAGATAGATAGTACTCGTTTTCATTATTCTGCAAAAAGCAAAACCTCAAAAAGCTAAAAACCCTAATAGTCTTCACTCTTCATAAACCCCAAGAAACAAGAGAAGCTAACTAGCTTGAGTCTCAAAAGATCAAACACATCGTCTCTCTAGTTCTTCTTGTTCCCCTTCTCTCTATTTTTTTTTTTGGTTTGGTTTTGTTTTGTCTTTTTAATATTAAAAACTCATTTTGGGGAATTTTTAATTTCCTCTTTAATTTGAGTGCTTCTTGAAATGGGTGAGACAACAAAAGGAGATGCTACAAAACCATCACCGAATCAAATCTCCTCACCTAAAGATTCTTCACTCGATCACCAAGCACCAAACCCATCACTCCTCCAGCACCACCACCACCACCAATCTTTCCTCCCTTCTCCGATCTTCATACCCACCGTCTCTTCTCCCGGAGCTCCGGCCATCCCCAAACGTCCACGTTTTGGCACTTCCGGTGGTCTCTCTCCTCCTCAATGGAAAGCCTTACCATCTCCTTCCACTGTCCCAACGGCCTCCACAATCTCCTCATCACCGACACCTTCCACCGCCGTTGTAACAGCTTCTTCCACCGAAACAGCCGGATCTTCACCGCCGGATCAAGAAGCAACAAACAGCGAGAAACAACAACAAGCCGAAACGGAGTCGTTTCAACATAAATTCAGAAAAGGGAAGTACGTGAGCCCCGTGTGGAAACCAAACGAGATGCTCTGGCTGGCAAGAGCCTGGAAAGTCCAGTACCAAAACCAAGCAACCGGGTCCGGATCCGGATCCGGGTCAGGCGAAGGAAGAGGGAAAACACGAGCGGAAAAAGACAGGGAAGTAGCCGAGTTCCTAAACCGACACGGCATAAACCGAGACTCAAAAATCGCCGGTACGAAATGGGACAACATGCTTGGTGAGTTCAGGAAAGTGTACGAGTGGGAAAAATGCGGAGAGAAAGAAAAATACGGTAAGAGTTACTTCAGGCTCTCTCCTTACGAGAGGAAGCAACATCGTCTTCCCGCGTCTTTTGACGAAGAAGTCTATCAAGAATTGGCTCTTTTCATGGGTCCACGTGTCAGAGCTCCGACTATCAACCGGGGAGGAGCTCCGTCGGCTTTTACCTCAACTCCTCCGTCTGTTGAGGCACTACCTCCTCCTCATCCTCCACTCATGATGACTTCAAGAGACGAATATGATACTGAAAATAACCCTATGATCTCTTCCATTGGTAATTTTTTTTTTACTTTTTTACTTCCATAACATGTTTATTTATTTATTTTAGTATTCATTGACTTGTCTAAAGTGCATTATTATTAAATAGTCACATTGTGCCATACTGCGTTATTTTGGACTATGTTTGGCACGATCGTTTATTGGTTTTATAGATTAGAATTGAAGGAACATGAAATTGTGTAAAGATTTTTTTGTTTCTTTCTCTTTTTCTATCAAATTATGTTTTCAGTAAATACTAATGATGTATACTTTGTAGGAAGAGCAAAGAGATTAGCAGTAACAATAGTTGGAGATGATAATCCTCAATATAATCCGTATTCACACAACATTGCTAGAGGATCAGGTTTATTCTCTAATAAATCACTATACATGAATCCTTCTTCCGAGATGATCCCGTCTTCTTCTTCTTCGTCATCCTCGGTAAAAGATCTTCGCCGTATTGGGAAAATAAGGTTAACTTGGGAGGAATCGGTTAACTTGTGGGGTGAAGAAGGAGAGATTGATTATGGGAGAATTAGGGTTAGTGGCTCGAGTTTCTTGAATGCAGACGAGCTCACATACTTGGACGACTCCATGGTGGCTTGTACAATGGAATCATTCGAAGATGGACCTCTCAAGGGGTTTTCTTTGGATAGATTTATTTCTGGTCAACATCTTAAAGTCTTTGGAAGACAAAGGTCAACTTCATCATCTGTTCCTTCACCTCCAGGTAACACATATATATATACGTTTGTTTAGTGATAAAATAATACTACTATATTGGCTAGCAAATTAATGTGGAAACCTCTTTTAAAAAGTACTTAATTTATGCAAAATTTTCTGCTGTTTTATTTTGAGCGAGAAAATGTAAAAGTTAAAACAATTTGCGATAAATATACAAAATTAAAGAGCTAAACAATACAACTCTTAATTCTATGAATTTATTTTTTCTTGTTTATGTGGCAAGTTTATTGGATCAATATAATAAACCTTTAGTGATAAATATGCGAAATTAAAGAGAATAATCAATGTATCTCTCTAAGCTTATAATATGTTTTTTAGTTACTGTAGCAGGTTTGTTTGAACGAGCACAGCTTCAACTCGCAGAACCCATTTATAAATGTAAGTACATTTCGGTATCCTATAGCTTAATATCGCATTATTTAGATTATTTAACATGTGAACTACTGCTAGTACAGCAATATCAACACTGGAGCTCCAAGACCCATCAGAGCATTGCTTGAGTAAATTGCGTGTACCAGCTGGAAGTCTTCCGAGTTTATTTGACCTTGCACGGTATCTTCAAGAACCACCGCCAGAAAATCTCCGGTTTCCTCTCCGGCCAGACGTATACAAAGACTTGCCACCGGGAAAAGAACTCTTCTTCTCCACCTCCTCCACCGAGCTACTAGATTGTAGAGCAATCACATACGATATCGTCGCCCCCATAATGTCCCGCTTAAACCCTAATAATGGATTCGTTATCTCAAGCAAAGACTCGCTGATCCCACTTTGGGACGACTGCGTTAACCGGATGGTTTCAAAGTTTTGTGAAATGGTGGTTTTGCGTAAACCAGATTCGTCGTTTTGGGTTGAAAACGTACAAGATCAGTGGCCAAACGTGATGGGATACATAAAAGGATTTGGGTTGTGGAGAGGAGAAGAGGCTGATAAGGTACGAGAAGGTGGTACTGATCCTTCTTCTCTATTGGTCGAGAAGATTCTTTGGTCGTACACTGATCTTCCATACATTCTTGGATACCACGCAATAGGGTTCACGGTAACTTTCTGCGCTTTAAGCCTATCATCACAAGATCGAGTGACCTGCACCGATCTTTATTCATTCAACGTATCATCACCGTCAGATAGAATCAAAGCGTTGGTTCCTTGTTACCGTCTTGCTTCTCTTTTACCGTTGCTTGCGGATCGGTGCACTACTACGACTACGAGGCCTTTATGCTATAACGACTTTGAGAGAATCGATCATGGAGATTATGTGACAGAAGTAACGCCTCACACGGTGACTAAGTATTACTCAAGCAAGAGAAAATGGATGAGTGTGAAAGGAATCTACGATTTTCTCGACCAAAGAGTTCCACACGCGGAGCATTTGGATAGGGCACGCGAGAAAGATCTGTCGTTGAGTTTTAAGCCACGTGGAATCAGAGTTAAACCACGAAACGTTGACCAGCTCATCGACTCGCTGATGTGTGTGACTAAAGCGCTCGTCGCCCTTCACGATCTTTCGTTCATGCATCGTGACATGGGATGGGATAATGTTATGAGAAGCACGGCGACGACCACAACAACAACTGACACGGATTGGTTCGTTTGCGGGTTCGACGCGGCTGTTGAGTCCCCGCAGCTTAACCCGCACCGTCCTGTAGCTAAGGCGGTTGAGGAGGAGGAGGAGAAGGAGCGTGGGAGACACGCACCGGAGATGGAGAGAGGCTTGCATGCGGTGAAAGTTGATGTGTGGGGAGTGGGTTATATGATAAAGACGTGTGGATTGAGTAATGTGCCAAAGATGTTGAGAGAACTTCAAGGGAAGTGTTTGGAACCGAACCAAGAGAACCGTCCGACCGCAGCTGATTGCTTTCATCACCTTCTCCAGGTTCAGTCTGCTAGTACATCGTCGTATTAGTCTACTCTTTTTTTGCTTTTCAATTTTTTCTTGTTCTTGGAGCGGTCTTGTTCACATGTGAAGCCGTGAAGGTTCTATAAACCTAGATGTACAAGTGACATAGAGTTGTTTGACCCAAAAGGTTAGTCAATCGGATTATTACCTTTCAGTAACAACGTTTTAGTTTCAAATATTTGGAGAGTTGATGAGTTAAGTGTAATGAGCAGCGGATAATAATTGTTATATATTCGTTGGAGATGATATGAATAGTAGCTTATATCGTACAATTTTCATTTGTGGGAGTAATTTATACGTATAGTAGCAAAACTGACGTCGACATATATATAATATTTTTGTAGAAAAACACTTTGTATGACTGATGAGAAGTGAGTTTGTCGAGAGAAACAGGCATTGGGCTAAACAAAATGGCGGCTGTTTTCTATCATCTAATGGCAGAGGCAGACTCGTATCTCTCTGTCTCTCTCTCAAATCACCTGCGCCACATTTGACCTCTATTTAGTATTTTCTTCCCTCACAAATATTTTTTTAATTTTTTTTCTGTCAGATCTTATACAATACTTTGGTATTCTGTCTCATATTTCACCAATGTTATTACCTTTTTAAACATAACTGGATACATAAGCTGAAATTTTCTGTGGGTTATCCGTGATCCTATATATTATGATATATTCGTTGTTTAAGTTTAGTAGTTACCGGAAAAAAATTACAATTTTAACAATTTTTTTACTAATGGCAAATCAGTTATATTAGTACAAAAGTGTAATTATATTTTAGTGAAAACATTCAAGTACAACCACTAAACTAAAATTACAATAAATTAAACACAATTTCAAAAAAGAAAAATTGAAGTGAACCTGTTTTCCAAACATAAACTTTATCGCTAACAAATTAAAGTATTTTCTTCGTATATTTGTTACATCTTATAAATGAAACTCTTAAATACTTTCTGCATCATTATTCATTATGATTAAACAAATACACAAATATGTTGTTTGATTTTTTTTTCTGGATCAAGGGATAGGGAGAACATCACTATATCATCAATAGACAGTATCCTTAAAAACAAGAAGGTATCGTGGATGCTAATTCTTTCGGTGAAAGAAAATAATTTATTGATTCTCGGATCGAATACCCAAATGTCGTCTCTAAACCATATGAGCATGACAAATTTTATGAGAAGTGAAGATAATCACGAGAAATAAATTTTACATAAGATAATATATTACGATTCAAAGAAATTGACATGCCACATGATGAGAGAAATCGGTAAGATGAATATTAGAATCCAAAAGTCCCACATTATATTAGATAAATATCATTGGGCAATAAGTGAAGGATACTTTTTCTTGAAATTTAATATTTACTTTCTTGTAATTTCAATATTTTTTTACCACAATAAATATCAAGAAATTCAATATTTACTTTTTTCTTATGGTATACTAGAAAGTTGCCCACGCGATGCGTGGGTTATATATGAAATATTAATTTTAATTAGAAATTGAAAACTACATTAAGATATGTAGTTTATAAGTAATTGTTAATATAAAACATATTTGTGTACATTATAAACAATAAAAGTAAATAAAATATATATTTGAAAAATATGAAACCGAATGAGATCAAAACAAAGTGATACAAATTAGCACATACATAATATAGTAGGCAATTGTAACTTGATGTTAATTTTTTGTGTGTACATTGTTAATATTAAAAGTAAACAAAACTCATATTTCACCTAAGATATATGATTTTAATAGACCTTACTTAGAAATTTTTTTCAATTTAGAAAATATTTCACCTGAGATATAAGGGCTTTTGATCTATAATTATTTAAACTCTACAAAGATAAAGCAAAAGCCAAATCAACAGATGAAAATTATTTGAAAAAAAAAGAAGTTTGATATTTTTCATTCTAATTGATTAGAAAAGAAGCTCACATATACGTAGATGAGATCATTTTTTATATATTAAAAATTATTTTATGTAGAATTTGTTGAAGAATAAAATTAATATTGAAACGATTTAAGAACAAACATAAAGATTGACATAACTATCAAAGCTAAAGAAATGAATTTATATTAAAAAGGCATCACATGTTTACATCAACATTAACAAAGAAGATGAACGAATATATCTGTCTATTATATGTACATGACAACAATCATGAAATGCTCTTAAGTAATCGAATTTATGTTCGGTCTCTCTAGGAAAATCTAACTTGGATTAGATATTTATATTGTTATGAAAAAAGACTATTATTTAGAAAAAATGATTAAATATGATATTAGTGTAGAGTGTAGATTGGATATGATATTAGTGTATAACTCATACCTTATTAAATATTATAATTTAATAGGATTTTAGTGAAGTTCATTAATTCATAAAATGTAATAAAAATGTAATAGGATTTAAATAAAATGTAAAAAGTTATGTAAAATAGATGTTTTAATTATGTGATTGTAAATCATATATATATATATATATACAATATGAAATTTTATTATAAAATAATCTGTTTTTGTTTTGGCAAAAGAACTTTAGGTATTAAAAATTGGATTCAGAAGTAGATGTTAAGTTATATTTATAGGAAAATAACTTTAGTTATATCTTTTGCTTTACACAAATGAATTTTGGATCCCAATTAATAATTTTACTCATAATAATTTTATTTTAATTTTTACCTAATTATATGATTATTTGGAAATAAGAATGACATAAATGTTTAGTTAGAAATAAAAATGAAAATAATTAATTAAAAATAAAGGATAACACGTGTCATCAACAAAGAGCCCCAAATGTCGTAACGTGGTGAAAAGTTAGAAAAAACCTAGTTCAACTGATGAATGAATTAAACAAAATTTAACTTTTATGAACTATATGATTTAACAAAAAATAAAGACCAATTTTTTAAAACCAAGTACTTTTTGTCTCTTTTTAAACAGTTAGACC